AGCTCCGTAATACGGGGCGTAGGTACATGTCGTTTGCTGTACAAAAGACGGAGAGGGCGGCATGCGGGCGGTAGGACGAGCCAGCAAGGACGAAATAGTGGCAGAGCTCTCGTACGAGTAAGTAGGTCGATACGTGTTACAGAGCCTGGGGAGAAAGACGCCTGTCCGTCGGTAGATTCTCCGCAACGCATCGCCACTAATGGTACAGGTCAGTGCTTGGAGACCAGGATCGACGACCTTGGCTAGCCCAAAGCCATAAGCGTCAACAAGCGGCTCGCTTTGATTTCGACTGTCTGAAGCCTGAGCGCGTGATGGGTCTGTGGTCCTGCCGTCGCTAGCTTCAGTGTTGTCTCCCTTGTAGGCGTTTTAGCGGCTGCGGCGGCCATCTGCTTTGATGAAGGCACCCAAAGTGGTGGAGGATATTATTAGACTTGGGCTGCTGTGCATCCGAGGCCCAGAAATTCAAAGCCGTGTCGTGTCATTTGAGTAGGGCATTTCCATGGGTAGGTAGGTATTAGTTGCTTTGGGTGAATCATCGTGCCCCGATGCCCCAGGTGATCATGTCTTCGCATACTGGCTTCGCCTCTCCAAGCACTTGATATGGGGAAGAGCCTCTTTGGTGCGAGGGATTGAGGGCAAATGTGACGAGTGGCATGCAGGGCAAGAGAGCAACGCCAATTACAACGCTTGACTTGCATACAGGCTGTTTGGCGATCCGCTTCGTCAAACATGGAGAGAAGCGATGAACTACGGCGACGGGCGATCTGGCGGACGTGCTCAAAGCCAGACACGGATCTGGACGGCAGGGGGTGCGGGCTGGAAATCGCTGATGGCGGCGTTGGCGTTGGCGTTGGCGCTGGCGAAGAGGCCAGTGCATACGATGAGTCGACAGAGGTGTCTCAACTTGCACGGCCCAACCAGATGCTGCTGGCAGAAGCAGAAGCGGCAGCAGTATTGCAGCATTGCACCAAGCGAGGTGGCCCCATCGCACACGCCCTTGAAAATCAAAGTCAAAAGAAAGATGGAACAAGGTTGCCCATGGGAGGCCGGAGTCTGCCGTGATGGTCCCGGGTGGACATGGGGGATGGAGCCACCGAGACAGATGCCTCGTCACGCCAGGGAGGATATTGACTTTGATATTGGCCTGCCATCCGCAACTGAGCCCTGTGATACGGCAGTGACTGGTTGATGGGGGAGCAGAACCACCCACACAGGCCATCCAGCCAGCCGGATAGCAGCCTGAAGCAGCCGAGAGGGTCCAAGAGGCGTCCGGAGTGGGTGGGTGGCTGAAAAGCCTGGGCCAGGTTGGGGCATCGTGTTGGATAGAGCAGACATGAGCGGTGGAGCGAGAGGGAGAGATGAAGGGAGAACCGAATATTCGGGCGGCCAGATTTGTGAATGCAGATTGATCCAGGGCCGAGGAAGCAGCTGCAGAGTCGATGGCGGAAACGGAGATTGCAAGTGAATGAGCCGTGATATTGGTGTTGTGGGATGAAAGATGCAAATGCAGTGTAGACACAAGCAGCCTGCCTCTATAATTTTGTGCGGCGGACCAGAGACGGGCGCGACCCCTGAAGAGAGAAACGGCGGGCAGGCGCCTTGCACTTACAGGTACATGGCACCACTATCGCCATTCCACTGCTTGGGTTCAAATGGATGCTACAGCAGTACGGGGTGCTACAGCATTGGCCGCCCGGCTTTGATATCGCCCATGCACACGTCAAATATTGTATACACAGCATGAGGCCCGAATTACAGCCACTCGGGATCTGCTACAGCAATCAGTACTAGTAAAAGTAGCACTGCATTATTAGTACTACTGTCTAGCAGGTAGTGCTGCGATGCCATCGGCCAGAGCCTCAATCTCGGCTTGGTACGACGCCACCACTAAAAGCAAAAGGCTTAATTCGACGGGATCTCCAGACCGGTCAAGCAAGCGATTGATCCGCAGCGTCGTCATTCGCTCGATCAGGGCACGGGCTGCCGCGGATGGCTGCACGGATTTAATTTCAATTTCAATGCTTATTTTTACCTCGGCCTCGTCTCGTATACAAAGCACATCAACCACACTTCCAAGCACTTGTATAGACCTAGACGATACACGTACGTAGATTGATAGATTCCAACATCTCCGGGCTCACCCCCCCTCCCTGGTCGGCCAAGCGCTCGCGCCAACACCATCTCATCGGCCAATCACTCACAAATCACAAACAATCACAAGCGCTAGTAGCGCCTGTTTGGAGATGGAGATCAGCATCGGCAAGCATCAGCCAGGCCACAGGGTCCAACTACGAGCCCCAGCTCTGTCGGATCGACTGGCCCGAGATGGCGGCGATGCCTCATGCTCGGTGCCATTCCGAGTGTCTGGCAGTTCAACCGCAAGGTGAAGGAAACGGAATCAAGTACGTGGTAGAATCAACGAAGTGACGAAAACAAACGCCATTAGTCGAGACGAGTATTTGCTATTCTGGTATTGTTGGCCGTAGCATGGGCAGTATGGACTAGATGCCTATTCACAACAGGTGCTTCGCACTCCAATGCCATCATTTTGTCTCGCCTCGCCACCCCTTTTTTCGAATCCCGTCCCTCAGGCGTCTTTTGCTTTCCTCTGCTTTCTTTTCTTTTCTTTTCTTTCCTTTCCCCTCCCTTCTCACACCGAGTCTCGCCTCATTGCCCTTGTAAACTTACTTTTCTGCTCTTGTGCCACTATCTATGTAGTATATGTTACCCTCCTTGAAGCCCGGGTGGTCCTCCCTCCGAGACCTGTCTTAGATTTTGCCTGTGTGCTGATTTTGACATGGGGCACTTGGGCAAGAAAAAAATTGGCTCCTAAATTAAGCTGTGCGCTGAATGTTCAAAGCTAGTCGATGCCTTACTGTGTAATTTCACCATAGAAATACTGTATACTTTATTTCTTGGCGCTGGAAGCGCTGTGTGTATGCTTATTGTGTCTGTTCAGCTATAGCCTGGTTGGGATGAAGCTATCTAGGATCAAGTGATGTTTTCAATTTGAACGGCGCAACTACTAAAATCACCGACCCAAGAATCCCAAACTTGCCACTGCTTCCTGTCATCACCGTGAGCTGGCTCTTTTTTTTTTTCCTTCTCTCCCAAAGTTTGAAATTTGAACTGCTTCTACCCACAGTTGGACACGGTTGAACATTGGTGTAGTTGGGTTTGACTGGAATTGCTTCACTTTTCTTCGCTACTATTAGCACAGCTTGTGAGGCTGACCGCTCCTGCTGGGCCATGTTACGCAACATAAATACCGTTGCCTGACCCTTTTCTCGTCTTCATCTTCTCCAGCCAAACTGCCAGAATCTCCGAATCATACGAAAAGAATACTATTTGGATCTCACGGTACGGATATCTTTACAGGGTACCCCAAGACCGGCTCCATTCCCCAGCTTCTCGACGGATAGCACCGCTCAGTATCTTCACAAAAAAAATCAGTCAACAGTGGAGTCATGCCACTAAATATTACTACTACGACTACTTTGTTTCCGATGGATGAAATACAAATAACAGAACATACCGATAATATGGTGCGTAAGGAGTTCTATCGCCGCTATAGATGCGGCAATGGATATTACGGCCATGGATACAGCTCCTCCACCACCCGGACCGGACAAAGTCAGGCGAGGAGCCCACTGACAACTGGCAATTGCATCAGAGGCCTCAATCCCTGTCCTTCCCAATCTCACTCCCGAGCCCACCCAAGATTTGGCCAGCCCACACTGCCCGATTGGGACCGTCTGTCTCGCAACAGCTCCAATACCCACCCGGGCCACACCCCTCTATTCATCTCTGGCGGCCCGGGTGCCCCCCTCCATCCCTTCTCGCCCTCGCTCAGCTACCGCTGTGAAGTTGGTCTCGAGGACGAGGCAGAGATCTACACCCGTCAGTCATGGCGGACTGTACGGGTACGGATACCTCCGGCCTTGCACTGGGGCAGACTGCTGTCAAGTGTACTTGGGCAGTTTGCCATAATAGACACTGATTATGTACGAGTGCGTGTACTTCTATGTAGTAGTGAGCCTTTGGCTACTACTGTCACCTGGTACTAAGTACTATACTACTGACCGTACTGGTACACTCCCTGCAGGGCAATAGGTCATTGTACATTAGCTGGGATGGCACTCACATACAGGTACTACTACTCTCTGAGCGTATGTACATGTATATATGCATAACTGGGCCCAGGCCCCATTGTCCGTGTCCTGAAGAAAGACCCCTGTACCAAAAGCACCTGCTTTTTTTTCTTTATTATACCCCGGCCCTCTTCACCTCTCTCTCATCCACCAACAGATCTTCTTTCTCTTCTTTCTCTCCCTTTCTCTTCACAATCATTCATCTTCCTCTCGAGTTATCCATCACCCGGCCTTGGGTCTGTTTTTGATCTCCATCATCCCATAGCACCTCTTCGTCCCCACTATACAGACGACATCGGGTGCCACTATGGACCCGTTGTCTGTCCCTGTATCGCCCACGGCGCCGGCTCCTGACGCTCCAGAGAGACCAAACTCCGAGTCCGTCACTGTCATCGAGCTAAACGACGCAGAGTACTGCACACGGGTTTTGGAGCTGCCCTTGGGCAAGTCTGAAGCCGAGGCCGACGAGGAGCTCTTGGCCAGAGCAAGCGCCGTTGGCATCACCGCTACTCTGCCATCCTTGGCCAGCCAATGTCCTCCCGCTAGCAGCTGGTCGGACTCGTCGTTTGGAACCCCACAGGACCGATGTTTTTCCAACATCTCCAACAAGACAAATGGAACCGGTGTATCGACTCAATCTTCTGCCGTTTTCCCCCCGAGCCCGCTGTTTGATTCCGAAGGCGGAGAGAGAAGAAGTTCAACATCGAGCCTAACCTTTGCCCACTATGAACGATACATCTCTACCATCGACTCTGGTAGCGGTGACGACAAGCCGGCCAAGGATCCGCTTCCAATTTACAGCTTCTCTCCTCGACGGGTCTTCATACCCTCTCCCAAGAGCATGGCCAGCGCAAGTTCTAAGAAGAGCAGTTTTCAAGCCATCAAAGAACGTTTGTTTGGAAGGAAGAAGAAGAAGAACAAGGTCATCCAGCTTCTGCCGCCGCCGGAGCCGCTCCCTCGTGTTGAAATCAAGATGTAGGTCTTCTATCCTCCTACTCTCCTCCTACTAGCATCCATTTTCCATTTTCCATTTCCCATATGCCTACCCATTGTTCCATCTACATGTGAATCCATCAGCTGATGCCTTTTGTGTGCAACGTCATACAGTCTATGTACTACTTGTCGAGATAGCTTTGAAGAAAAATCCAGCGCCCTTCACAAGCTCAAGTGTGGCCACATCCACTGCGTTGAGTGCGTCAAAACCATGATCAAGCAAGCCGTCGAGGATGAATCCCTCATGCCGCCAAGCTGCTGCTCCTCTCCACTTACGCCTTCACTGATCAGGGGAATTCTGAACCAAGACGACCAAGATACTTTTTTGCTGGCAGTTGTCAAACTCAATACCCCGGCCGACGAGCAATTGTTTTGTCCAGACCCAGATTGTGGCCACTTTATTCCGCCCCAAGATGGGTACGATGCCAGGCACCCATTCGATCTCGCCTGCGTCAAATGCAATGGCCGTATGTGCGGCATATGCAAGGATATTGGCCATGGCCTGGGCGAGCATTGCCCTCTGGACTGGGAGCTGAATTTGTTGAAGAAGAAGCAGCAGCAGCAAAATGACAAGGAGATTTGGAGGCGATGCTACGAGTGTAGGAATCTGGTAGGCGCGAGCGAGACATGCCAAATCATGACTTGTCTATGCAAGGCCCAATTCTGCTCTGCATGTACGGGCATTTGGGATCCCATAACTGGCTGCCCCAACCTTTGCAGCTTTGAAGATGAAATGCAACGACGGCGAATCGCAGCGACTCTGTCTTCTATTAACGAGCTGAAGCTACGCTCTAACCCGTCTGTTCAACAGCTGGGACAGGATCAGCAGAAAGAGCTGCATCGATTCATGACGTACAAGTTTAAGACCAAGGATGCTTTGCAGACACGACACCTGACGCAAGAGGCTACCTTGGAGGAAAAGTACGAGTTGCAAGAGGAAGCAATCCAAGAGAGAAATACCAAGGCGTCGAATCAGATGGAAATCCGTCACCTTAAGGCCGAGATGGAGCTGCAAGACCGTCTGGATAAATACGAAGACACCATTGGCTTTCGAATCAAGCACATGGAAGGTTACTGCAACGGCCTTGGAAGAAATCCGAGCTCGCGGGCAGCAGTAGCCAGGACTGTTACCGAGAAAGACCTCCGAGAGCTCGGCCACCACTATCATATACGAGACACCATGGAGCAAATATGGGGAGGCAAGATCAATGTCATGAGAGAGCGGCAAACCAGGCAGCAGGAAGCCTGCCGCATCAAACAAGAAAACGAGCTCGAGGCTTTCATGGATAAGAGACAGGAAGTGCTTGACAAGATGGAAGCCGAGTTTCTTCGGGAGGAGACTCACTTTGACCAAGTCTTTGCAGCTCGCCAGCGCCACATACAGGCCCGATGGGTCCTCGCCATTGAGGTGCTGTGCAGGGAGCTTGAAGAGCAGAACCCTAAGCAGGCTTGCCGCCGTGTTTCCATTCCAAAGTGGCCCGAAGATAGAGCCTTCAGAATCCGCAGCAGCGAAAAGGAGCAATAATTATGCCATGGTGAACTTGTCCCTCTTCCAGCCTTGGAGTCACTGGCGGGATCATCAGAGACTTGGTCGTCGGATGACGATGACTTTGATATTGGCAGGCATATACCTAATACCCCTTGACGACTATCACTTGTTATATTCTCTTTTGTTCATTCTCTTCTCTGGCCGAGATTTGTTGTCTCCTGTGGCCACGTTCGACTTTTCTCTTCTCTCGCCCGCTGAGCGCCTTCATTTAATAATGGCTTTTCCTCTTTTCGTTTGTACGGTTCGATTGCCGACACGATCTCTATTTTCCTCTATTCCTATTCTTACCAACGCGGGTACTTTGCTTTGCCACATTAGCCATGTTTAATCCTGTCTATTTCCCTTTCTACTACATCTCATGACGCTCGCTTTAATCACAATACGGTATAATTGAGAAAGGCTTCTTGCCATCTCGTCCTTCTTTACCCTTTTCATAATTATTAATATTGTGCGGTTTCCCTTCTATGATAGCACTACCAGCATTTTCTTTTTGGGCATTTCGGTTCCTTGAAGCGTTGACAGAGCCCGCCTCCTCGACTTACACGAAAAAGAAAAAAAGGAAACAAAAAAAAAAAAGCCAAGCAAGCGACCAAGATTGCATTTTATTACTTCTACTAGTCGCCCCTCACACTATTATGTGTTGAGTTCTGTCTCTTCTAATGTTTGTGTGTTTACCGATGCGAGCTCAAGAGCCTCGCTGCACTCTCAATGGATGAGTGTTATGATACCAGCCGAAAGGGCGCCGTGGTGCACCCTGGAAAGCAAAAGGGTATGGATTGAAAAAAAGTTCTGATTGTTTTTGTTTTTTTATTTGGGTCAACTGTGGACAGGCCAGGGTCAGGGCCGCAACTGGGGTGGAATTCAAAGATTGTTTGTGTCACACACACTATTGCTTTTGCAATTGCTAGTAGATAGCCTTAGATAACTGGGTCTAACTGTTTGTTAAGATGAATATAATTAATGTTTACCGAGAAATGGCAAAAGCTGGGAGATGATTTCTTCGTTTGTAAAAGTGACGTAGTTGTGGCTGGCGTAGGTTGATTTCGAAGAGTTGAGAGAGATGGTCATGCATGAAGGAAGGCCGAGGCCGAGAGACGGCCGAGAGACGGCGTGACACACCAACTGGGCAGTTTGGCTGCCTCGATTTGACTTGCATTTACTCAAACTTTGGTGTAGATGGAGAGATGCCTTTCGTGATGTGAGCACTATGTCTCATCTGGCCCTCGCATCAATGCTACCGTCAAGAGGGCTTGATGTGAATAAATCACTCAGTGCCTCCTTCACCCGCTGGCGTAGCATCGGCTATCCACTTCAAAGGATCGTGGTAGCAGCTGGGTGGGCTCTGTTCATGTCAACTGAATCCGGGATCTTGGGATGACAAGGCTGCAGATCCCGGTTGACCCTTGCCTCAGCTGTTCCGGCGGGCAAGACATCAATGGGCCTATCAATGTCGTTTAGCTAGGATGTTTCTCCCCCACCACCCATCACTCACCACACATCACACACCCGAAATTCGCCCCTCCCCCCTCACTGATGCGGTGGTGGTTGAGAGCCGAGCCTCGTATAAGCGCCGTGTCTTGTTTGCACGACCGGAAAGCGCCCCTCCTGGCTGATTCATTTTCGGTGATGGAGCTTTATTGATAGATAGGGGTTCGGGGCCAGCTCGGAACTTGGATATCCGCATGAAGTCGTACTGTCATGGTTTCGTTTGAGATTTAGGGGGTGTGGTGCTGAGAATGTCAACCGGCGAAATATCTAGGATGGTGATTTGCTCGTCCGGGGAAACATGAGATGAGTCGAGAGATGGCCTTTGTTGGTGTGTGATGGTGCTGGGAAGTAGGAACTGGCCAACAATAGAACATGACGAATTAACCAGTTCTATTCCTCTAATCTTGGCAATAAAACACAGTCCTCGAGATATCTAGGCGAGACTGTGCTAGACTACTGGTTAGTTACCAAGTGTAGTAATGAGACCCAAAGCCTTACTTTATTTTTTCCCCTATCTTGGTCTCCAAGCAGCCACAGCGGAAAAAAAAAGAGAGAAAAGGTCTCGGAAGTACTCCGTATGGTACCCAGGATTACTGTACTCCGCATACATTGGTTTCTCTCGACTCTGGGCGTTGATAGACGCGACAAGCACCACGCCCGCGTAGGATAGGTATACGCCTTGCCTGGGGGGCATGATACCCTGCCAATCGAGAAACAAGGCGATCTCTTCCTCTTGACTCCAGGTTGGGGCATCTGCTGTCTCATACCAAGAATCAATAGTCTGAGAAAAAGAAATGAGACTGGTCATCCGTGGAGGACCATGTACCGGTACTTGCACCAAATTCTAGACCCAGCCCTTTTTCTTTTGCAATGTTTTCGGTGATGGTGATGTAGGGGGCGTAAATGAAGGCTGCCTTGGAGGAAAGAAGCACAAAAAAGCAAACATTGTTGATGACCCTGTTGGCTGAAATCCTGTCCGACCGATTCATGCTCGCGACTCTCCATTGAGCCCGCTTTAAAGGCTACCGGCAGACGTGATTGTGTGTCTTGCTGCCCATAATTCTGCCCTGGGAGTTCTTTCCCGTCCTAGTTTTCGACCGAGATAGTACTCTCACCAAGGAAATCCCCTTTCTCTCTCTCTGTATCTTGCCGCGCCGAAAGAAGCCATTGAGTAACCGCACATTATGATGGACGGATTATGCTCTGCAAGGTGCAACAAGCTGACCGCTGTTGTCTTTCGGAAATGTATCTGAGTCAAAGTGTCATTCGGTGTGACTGGACATTATTGTGAGGCTGACCGGACCAACTCATCCGAACATGAGGCGGTCATCTCCGCCGCTGGCAGTGGGCAGTCTCATCGGGGAAGCGGTCGATGAGACAAGACCTTCTCCCCCAAATCTGGCGCTGTTAATATGATAATTTGATCGTGTGATGGTTTTTCCTTTTTCTTCTCAGGTGTCTGTCTCAGCCTCAATCTCAGTTGAGCAGATGGAGAGGTGGAGATATCTCGGACCCCTGTCAGTGTCTCATAAGGTTTGGCACACAGATTTGGCAGACACTAACTAACAAGAGCTTGAAGAGGTTGGCCGATGCGGCTCTGTAGATCCGGAAACCGGCAAATCCATTTTCTCCGGTGATTAGATAACTAGACAATTCCAATGTCGGGTTTGGGGCTTTGGCTATCGCACGTGATCTTATCGCGATTGACCCCACATGCGCGGCGCACCGAACTGGGGCATTGGAGAGCAAAAAAAAACCCTTGCCGAATAGCACAAAATTACAGCTGGAGGAGAAAAATTACGCCCTTTCCTGCTACCCACACGGACTCCTACGATTCGCATCGCTCTCCTTCTTTTTTCCTTCACCACAAAGACACACATCAATCAAGATGGAATCTAGCTCCAAGGCTCCCGTCAAGCTCGTCAAGGTGACCCGAGTGCTCGGCCGTACCGGTATGAGGAGACTTTTGTTCCTGTCGCTCCCATGAACTCTCTGTCGCCAGTCTGTCGCCGTCGCTGCTGTTACGATTTCGTTGTCGCCCCTGCTGCTGGAATTGGGTGGACGAAGAAGAGGAGGAAAGGGTTTTTATTTCCACTATTTCGTATGGGAAAAGAAGTGGGAATCAAGGGAAAGGAGGAGGGAGGGCGTGGATCGACGAGACAACCGAAATCCGCAGCATCGACGCGCAACCTAGCTGAGAGGGGGTTCATGGGACACAATTTCAACAAGAGCGACGGAAAATGCTAACAAAAAGCCCTGCATAGGCTCTCGTGGTGGTGTCACCCAGGTCCGTGTCGAGTTCATGGACGACCAGACCCGTTCCATCATCCGAAACGTCAAGGGTCCCGGTATGTTTGAGCAGAACGCATCCAACAAGCTGCTGGCCGTAGACATGTGTGGGCTAACTGAACTTGTGCTATCTAGTCCGTGAGGACGACATCCTCTGCCTCCTCGAGTCCGAGCGTGAGGCCAGACGTCTGCGATAAATGTCGAATGCTGGGAGGCAAGGGGGGAGAGAAAAAGGAAGCTGGCAGTGGTTCTCATTGGCGTGAACGGGTACGGGTCATTTTCTTTTGGGTGTGTTCCATCTGGACATTACGGCCTCTTTTTGACGACGGCATGAAACGATGGTGTCAAATAGCGACAACCGACAGGGCTTCATACTACCTAGTCGGAAATACCTAGGCTCATTCTCATAAAAAAAAAAAGATATAAAGCTTCTTTTTTTTTTGTCCAGACATGGAATAGCTCTTCAGCTCGATCACCGGCTTATTGGCTGACAGTGACGGACTGATTAATGGATTGGTGAGGCGGTCAATGCCATGCCATAGCTAGACAGCTGCCGTGAGGTTGCATAAAGGTTTGCCTAGTATTGTGGCCTAGGTTATGGCATCTTGATATTCTACACTACAGCATTAAGAGACCTGTTATCTGGTCATGATTGCACAAATCATGTGTTTGCCATGAACGGAATCTGTTTTCTGCAATCTGAATCTTATACACATGAGACGGTTTATACCCCTTGGCCTATTCACTCATGATATGCCATCAAACTGTGATGCAATGACGCCTAATGGCGATAGCTTCTACGTATAACTAGGCGTAGTTGGAGGAATGCTTGAGTTTCTTGAATGGGCTTGAGGAGTGCTGGTAACTAAACTAATACAAGTCGACTGGGATTGGTTATGGAGAGCCGAAAGAATTGTAATATTCGTAAAGTTATAGATCCCTATGCTCTCTTGGATTGTCGTGGACGCCTCTTCAAGACTTGTAGTTGCTTGAACAAGGATATCTCTGCGCCTACGTTGAGTTGAGAATGAAGTTCCAAAAGACGCCAAGAGCCACCAGTTAAGTAAGGAGCTCACTTCAGCCATCTTAAGCTTAGAGGATCAACCCTACCACTGTTGATATTCATTCAATGAGTGTACATTGTTTATAGTAGTCGAGGTGCTAGTGTAGCATGATGTGATGTGCACAAATACGAAGTGTGTTGAACCTGGTCCCGCATGGCCAAGAGAGACGCGTCAGCAACTGGGAAAAAAGGACGAAAAAAGGAAAATGAGATTCCAGAGCGGATGGGATGTCCGGGAACCTGCGTGTGCCTAGGGAGACATCATTTCCCTCGGCCTCGTATACGAGAATCATTCCGGCGACTTGCAGATGCGGGATTCACGAAGCTGCTGCTTGTATGACGGACAGGCTGAGGTGGCCTCGAGGCTGAGATGTTGGTTAGTTACTAATGTAGTCATCAGGTACCCCCGCGATGATCAACTGCAGGGCGATATACCCCGTAGGTACGCGATCCGGTCGCATCCACTGCTAGCGGCAACCAACTCCCCGAAAGAACCGCTGAAGAGCCCCCGGACAGGGCAGAGGACAGAACATGCCACCAGAAAGGCCCCCAAAAACATCCCCCATCTTTTGAACCTCCTAGGCCCAGCCAGCCTGTTTCCCCCAAATCTCCATCTCCATCTCCATACCTGGGCATCTTCATTATCACGGGCGCCCCCATCTTACATGCTGCTCTCTCACCGGCCAGCCTCAGCCACCCACTTCGACCTGCAGTAGCAGCAATTGCACTCCGGCAATAAGCTTGGAACCTCGTCGCTTCTCCCGCGATCCCTCCCGTCCGCTTCGCCCACTCGGATTGGTTTATGCCCGGCCAACTGCCGCGCTCTAGCAAAGCGGTCCCAGCCCCTCGCCTTGTTGCTTCTGCTTTTTTTTTTCTTTTTTTTTTTCTGGCTTCTTTTTTGCTAGTGACGACATTGAGGCTGTTTCCTCCAATGCTCGCGCTGAACTGACCGAGTCCGATTGCTGCAATTTTCGCGCGGATTGCCACCCTCGAGACACGTCGTAAACACACACAAACACACACAAGGCGATATACAGCTCAAGCCGAGGTATTGCGGAGCTGGCCAGTCGCAAAGCAATCCTTCGGGCTCCTGGAGAAATTGCTCGCCTTCCAAAGGCGCCTCCCTTCTAGGGTTTGGTGAGCTTCCCCTCCCCTGCCTCTTCCTTATTCGCGGCGCTTCTAGTTCGTCATAGCTCGCTCCATTCCACCTTGTTCCTGCATCTGACTTCTCCCGTAGTCAACATCTGGACAGGTCGCTCTAACCGCCGCGGCGCATCTTGTTTTTTATCCTCTGGAGAATTAACAGTGGACGACAGGTACGAACTAGAGTTTCGTCATCGACTGCCATCACTCGAGGCCTCTCCCCTGCCGACAGCAAACTACGGCTCAAGTCTCTCTCAGAGGCGAACCCATCTACAACCATGGCCGACTTTCGCTCGCCCATTGACTCCCCGGTGCCGTCACTGGCACTGCAGATGCCGCAGTCATCGCCGCTGCAGCATCGCCGAGACTTTTCAGGATCAATTACACTCGACGACCCTGCGCAGCTCCGGCGAGCTTCCGGCGATGCTGCGGCGCATGAAGGCACTTTGACTGATGCGAGACCCGGCGACGGCACGGCTGCGGCAGACGAGGCTCCCGCACTGCCTGCAACTGATCCATCTGTGCTCAAGCTGGTCGACGAGGTGTTGGCGTCCGAGGTATGAGATTCTGCTTCTCCGGGCGAGAATGCGCACGCGTAATGCCGATGCTGGCGCCACTACTGTTGTTGGCGTTGATATTGACTGTTATTGATAGCAAGGTATTCCTTCGCTGCTGCAGCGCTTGAAGCAGAGCGTAGCCTCTGCAAAGGTGAGCCAACCTGTCCTACATACATATAATTGTGGTCCTTTCACATGGTAGCCAGCGGTACCCCCATGCTGTTGGCTGCAGCTCTGGCGCCATGTGGCTGAGACAAGAGAGCCGGACAAGAAGCTGATGGTGACGGTGATTGCTCAGGAGTTTGGCATCTTTCTCAAAAAACGAGCCAGCCTTGAGGAAGACAATGCTCAGACGCTGAAGAAGCTGGCGCGCGCCACCCAAGATAACATCCGACGACCCGAACACCGCGGAGGCTCATTTGGCCAAGTATACGAGGAAATGGTCCAAATCCACGAACGCATGGCTGATAACGGCATCCACTTTGCCGCAACGCTTCTGCAGATGAACGAAGAGCTCCTCGAGGCGGCTGGCACTGCTGAGCGCAACCGCAAATCTTGGAAAGCCACCGGTCTATCAGCCGAGCAAAAGGTCGTCGATCTCGAGGTCGCAATGCGCAAGAGCAAGGCGAAATACGACTCTCTGGCCGAAGAATATGACCGCGCCCGGACAGGCGAGAGCAGACCTGGCGGCGGCAAAGTTTTGGGCGCATTCAAAGCACACAAGTCGGCCGCCCAGCAAGAGGAGGAGCTCCTCAAGAAGGTTCAGACTGCAGATCAGATGTACCACAGCGCCGTCACCAGTCTACAGACGGAGAAGGCTCAGCTGCAGAATACAACTCGGCCTGAACTTATCAAGTCGCTTCAGGAGGCTATTCGCGAGATAGATTCTGCTGTCGGCATGCAGATGCAAAAGTTTGGTAAGTAGTCAAACTGGGAAACAAGCTCCCCTGAGACGAGACTCCCTTTAGCAAATCCAAGTATCATCAGCTCATTAATAACTAACCACCAAACACACTCGATAGCTTTGAATAACGAGAATCTACTGCTTGGCAATGGTCTCGTCATCAGTCCGTTTAGAAACAGCACTTCCATTGGCCCCAACCAGCCCCGAAGCATGAGATTCGCCGTCGCGTCCATCAACATCAACAAGGACCTGGATGAGTTCGTGGCCGGATTCCACTCCAAGGTTCAGCCAAACACGGGCGAGATCAAATACGAGCGCAATCCAGTGCGTTTCCACCTCCCCCGCCGATTCACCTGATTGCTCTCAACTCCGTATCTGGATCTCTCATACTGACGTTTGGTTTTGTTTGCTTTTTTTGCAATTCTTAGGTTCTTGGTCCTCAGCCCGGCGCCATGGGCCACTCATCCTTACCGGCTGCATCTCATGCTTCGAAGCCTTCTGTTAGTCAAGCCGCTCCTTCAGGCGGATTTCAGCAAAGCCCGCAGTCTTTCTCGGTGGCATCACGGACAGGCCCTAGCAACTTCAACGGCCCTCCAGCAGGCGCTCCAGGCCCCCAGGGACCACCGGCTGCTACTACTTCTACTCCCACTAACGCAGAGCCTCCAAAATCATTCCATCAACCGAACCACAGCCGTACCTTTAGTCAAGGCAACATGCTGAATTCCCCCATTAGCCCCCAGCCTCAATATGGCTCAGTGGGCCCAATGGGTCCAGCATCAGGAGGCCCTCGCTTCCCCAACGGTGGCCCTGCACTTACCGGCCCGCCACAGCTCGGAGCGCTTGCCTTCCAAGAGAGCGAGGGTCCATCTGAGAAGAGCTCTTCGCCTCCTCAGCTGGGACTTCCATATCAGCCTCCGGGGCCAAGCGCTCCACCAGCATACAGCGGCCCACCTGCTCTCAACACTTCTGCGGGCTCAAAGCCCGTGTTTGGCGTTCATCTAGGCCGCTTATATGAGCGAGATGGCCTTGCTGTGCCCATGGTTGTGTACCAGTGTATCCAAGCTGTCGACTTGTTTGGACTGGGCGTGGAGGGCATCTACCGCCAGTCTGGTTCCATGAACCACATTAACCGACTAAAATCCATGTTCGATTCAGGTATCTTCACCTCATGTCTTGTCCTTGTTCGACCTGTATCAAGAGAGTTTCTTGTCAACTAACTATATATTCTCTCTCTCGCACAGAATCTCAAGCACAAGCGCTTGACTTTAGAAACCCAGAGAACTTTTTCCACGATGTCAACAGTGTTACGGGCCTGTTGAAGCAGTTCTTCCGGGATCTGCCTGATCCGCTCTTCACCACGGAGCACCACAGCAGCTTCATCAACGCAGCGAGTATGATAACCCCTCTACCCCCTCCCCCTCCTTTCTCCAACACCTGCTGACCACACGAGTAGAACACGAAGATGAAATCGTCCGCCGGGACAACCTCCACGCCATCATCAACAGCCTGCCCGACCCCAACTACGCCACCCTCCGCGCCCTCATGCTTCACCTGCACCGCGTCATCGACAACTCCCACATCAACCGCATGAACTCCCACAACCTGGCCGTCATCCTCGGTCCCACGCTCATGGGCACCGATCCCAGCACCGCTATTACAGATGCCGGCTGGCAGATCAAGGTCATTGACACAATATTGGTCAACACGTACCAGATCTTTGACGAGGATTGATTGATTTACTTTTTGCTTCTTTCCTTGTCCTTTGTCCTTTTGTCATTTTCTGTTGGTACCAGCCTGTGTGTTGATATCTTGGGAATCTCACTATTTCTCTGTCCAATATGTCTCGTCTCTCCCTTTACCTCTCCATCTCTTGTCTCTTTTTCCATCTTTTGCATGGCGCTTTTATTTGCTTATTTATTCATCTTGATTGCCTTTCTGTCTCCCCACACAGATATAAGTCGATATACCTACATTCAAGTCAAAATTTAATAGAATGTAATGTTGTTCTCGCTTCCCCCTTTCTTGTCTCTATGTCGTCTCATTCTTTTTGTCGATTTTGATGTTTTGGTCAACGACACTCGTAGACTGTATACTGCACCAAGCAATCTAGTAGCATTAAAATAATAAGAATAAAAAGTCAAATCAATTGAGCAAAGGTATCCTACAAGAAATGTGCCCAAGAGGCGAGACATTAGAAGAAAGCAGAGAGAATAAGAAAAGAAAATGCGCCTCGAAAGAAACCCTCTCCCCGTACCCCATGCCATGCATGAACGAAACAAAACTCCAGCCCCAGTGAATAAAGAAAAGACAAAATAGATATAAAACTTGAGTGTAATTTGCAATGCGCCTCCTCTACATCAATCTTTGAAAACCCTTCCATTAACCATGACCTCTTTTTTTGCCTGTCCCTCTTTCATATGATGAAGTCCCGTTCTTTTTTCTTTTTCTGGTTCTCCAACGAGGACAGGGAAAAAAAAAAAAGAAAAAAAGGTATCTGAAAAGCTCTCCTCTAGCTACCGTGACAAAAAAAATCCAACACAAAAATAAGCAACAGCAAAACAAAAAAGAGATCAAGTGAAATAAAAGAGAAGAGAATGGGAAATAACAAGAAAAAAAAAAGAAGCCAAAAATGCCATGCTTTCCATAAATCACAACTCCTCTCAGTCTCCTTTATAGGTATCTCCTCCACTTCCTCCCGTATGCGTTGTCACGGGCCCAGTGAATATATCCAGTTTCCTCGCTTCTTCCTTTTTCCTTCATGCCGTTTTTCTTCCTACCAGCCGTCACATGAGTCATAGCAATTATGGGTATTTCCTCTTTTCCAAAGTCTGGTACGGTACTCGCATCTCTAAAACAACGCATGACGAATGAGATATGAAAGGAAACAAAGAGAGAAAAAAAAGGGAGAAGAAAACAGCATGAGGAGGAAAGAAGAAGGCACTGCCTAGGAGTCAAATGTATCCTGTAGGCACAAGGGTCTGGAGTTTCCCCATTTTATCTTCCTTCTGTCGAGTGAAACCTTGATCATGAACGTGGCCATTATGCGCGCTGAATGGTGCTTCGCAATGATGTAATGAGTATGATGCTGAAAGAGAACCAAACCGAAAACACAACCCAAAAAGAAAAGGAAAGGAAAAGCCACGAGAATATGTATAGTTGGAGAAAAGAAGCAAAACCAAAGCAAAGCAAAAAAAGCAGTTTAGTATAAGAAGAAATGTTGAAACCCCTTCTTGTTTTGGCGATACACACAAATCTGCGTCTTTAGTGTATCCTGATGGCTTGAAAGAGACTTAGGTTCAAGCTCGTGTCATTCACACCGACATTAGGGGTGGGCTCGCTAAGCAGTTCCCATCGTCGGATGACATAGGGAGAGAGCCTCTCGTGTGGCAATGGCCGGATGCCATACATGGCACCCATGCCTCTCGATGCAGAGCTGTGAGGCACTGCTGTCCTGTCTCTGTGCGCAAGCATCACGCCGTCCATGACTGTTGGCGGTGGAATGCTAAAGATGTAATATAGGCGAAAGTCTGAGGATGTGTGTAGAGTCGGCATCATACCAGGCACGACAAGAACAGACTTGGCACAGTGGAGGCGTAGGTCGTCTGGCAAGCCATCTGCCAAGACCGCGGCGACGTCAAATAAATGCTGCAACAGCCCGCCCCCAGCCACCTGGCTTGGAAGTGTCTCGAGTCCAAGCAGCAGGCGGCATAGGGTCAGAACAGTATGTGCCCGAGCCTCGTGATGGGGAGGCATGAGCAGTTTTCCCTGGACGGAAGTAGTCATTACAGAGGCACTCAAGGGCTCCTGAGACACGCTGTGTAAGAGCACGAATTTCAGCAGCATCGGTATCCAGTGCTCAACGACCGCCGATAGCATGCCCCCCTTCTTGTCTTCGGCAGCCCTTGGCGCGACGACCAAGTCGACGAGATCCGACAGTTTGTTGGCCAGAGCCATGGTAAGCTGAGCTGTAGGCGGCGGCGGCTGGCCCACAACGATGGCCTCGATAACGCCAAGGAGCTTCTCGGCAAGGTATAGATTGTTATTGCTTGGGAGAGCGCCCTGGATACTTTCGGCATCTTTCAATTGCGTTGACGCCGGCACAAGAGCTAAAAATCGCTGGCGGGCCTGGCTTTGCAAGTGGCGAGAGATGTCCTTGCTTAGGCAGGGAAGCATAGTCGTCCACATAACATTCTGGGCTCCAATCGCACGGTCCATGGCTTGTGCAAATAGATCATACTGCGACACGCTCTGCGGCGCATCTTGGCCCTCAGTCTGACGAGGCGGCGTAACAGAAAGATCCATGTTGAGCTTGATTTGGCAAAATGGCATAGTGAGCTCGTTCGTCTGGCGCAAGATTTCGTCATAGGGCGCTGTCAACGACGATCCATCCTTGGTGGCCCCGTGTTGCTTGAAGAGATTGCTAATGATTTCATGCATCAGGTGGAAGGCTCCTGGATGGACTTTTTGCACGCTAAACGCCTCTGTAACGTCCGCAGTGTGCATAACAACCAAGAGTTGCAAAGCGTCCAGTATCCTGTTTCGATATGCGACGTCGTCAAGCGGTAATTTTACACTGCCATTTCCAGCTCGAAGATCAGCATATTCAATGATGGCGTGGCGTATGAGCGAAAGCAGGCCTTTGTGATGGCTGAAATGAATAGACTGTTGACAGATTCCAAAGCGATATACTTCTTCCTGGCTGAGATCTGTGTCATCCGGCAGCTTCGATAGGGTCAATTGAAGCAGTTCTTGGTGGAAAGTTGCTGCTCCGGGAGACGACAGGTCTAATGGTGCAGCCCCTGCCGATTCAGCATCTCCCTGGGATGCAGAAGCTTGAGTCAAGCTTGTAGGCCCAAAGAGGAAAGAAACGGGCAAAGCGTCAGTAATGATGAGGAGAGGAAAGACGGCATGCAATCGTTCCCGCTTCTTCATCAGCCGAACTCGCCCAACCCAGTCAGACATGAGCTTATCGAAATGCTGAGCATCGAATAAACGGAGGCGAGTGAGTAGGGAGGCATGAATCCTCCGATTATCATCCATCTTGGCCCAGCCCAGTTCAAGTCTGCGTATAATATATGCAAAAAGGCGATTCATGGTCGGGTGATCGATGCTGTTTCCGCTTGCCAACAGTTTCTCAATCTGTTCTGAGACCTCGCCATCAGCACCTGACAGCGGGTTGGTCATGTTATTGTCGGAAACCGGCGAGCATGCGTCAGTAGCATTGTTGCGATCACTCAGCATAAGTTCGTGAGCCAGCTGTTTGGAAATCTCTTGGCGATTAGGCATCCGCCGGGAAAGGGAGCATAGAGAAGCGAGTAGCGGGCGAGACACAAGGCCCTGCTCTTGGTTAATAGCCTTGAGCCGCTCGAGGAAGACGATGAACAAGCGCTCGGCAGTGCCTTGGGCGTAAAAAACTTGCAGATTCAAGTTTAGAGTGTCAACACAGGACGCGAGGACTTCGATGTTGGTGGTCCTAGAGCAAAATTTGAGTATTTCGCAAAGGGCATAAAAGTCTTGGGTGGCCTCGAGAATGGTGCGGATGGCAGAAAATAGACGCTGCGACATGGCTTGGACAGATTTGTTAAGCCTCATCACACCATCACGCAAGTGGATGCCCACGGCGCATCGCAAAGCCCTTGAGCTGTGGATGATCATTGGGAGGAGCTTTCGCAGTGGTATAGGCTTCCTGCCACCAGACATGTCGTTGTCCTGCACGGGCAAGCCCAGGGTGTGACTGACGCACACTAGGGCGTTGTGGATGTCGTCTGCTTCCTCGATGACGGAATAGTTGGCTGCTCGCCTGAGCAGGCTGCTTCGATCATCCTTCTGGTCTTCTGTCAGGTAATGTACAGGAAGGTGGACCAGCAATCTGGTGGTGCAGGGAGCCTCGTCAGAGTCCACTTCAGATGGATGACTGCAGCCGCCGCGAGCCATGAGCCACTTGGTGTACTGAGTGACGGAGAACTGCCCCGTCCGAATCAACTCTACAACAAGATGGTACGCCATCTGCTTGCGTCCCTCGTCGTCGGCGGGTATGGTATCCATGTGCTCAAGGATTGCACCGGTAACATCTATCCTCAACGACGCCCAGACCCTGATCAGGTTGGCGGCAATGTAGACCCTTGCTAAGCCAGGGCGATAAAAGGACGTTGCCCAATCCACGGTGGTCTTTACAATATCGGTCTTGTCGTCCCCGGTGGCCCAGCATTTCTGGGGCAGATCGCGGTTTATCTGGCTAAGCAGGGTTGCGTCCAGGAGCCGTACCAACTGTGGCCGCCCAGCCAGTGGCGAGGTATTGCTAGTAACAGATACCTGGCCATTTCGAGTATTGATATGAGAATATGCGTCCCGACTTGCTTTATCATCCCGCGGTAGGGAGGCGTCTAGGGCGTCTCTATACTTTGACCATAGGCTTGGGTCGATGAAGCTGTCGGATTTATCTCTGACAAGAGAGGCTAGTAAGGTGGAAAGCTGGCTCGATAGTTGAATGAGAATATCTTTGTCGGGATGGATATAGATCTGGTAATTTTTTTGTTAGTCAGGTATCTTGACGACGGCAACATGCCCGTTTATATATATATATATATAAAACAAGACAAGGCAGCGGCTGACTTACCGTATGGAGATGGCCAAGCAAGGCATAAACAAGACGGCGTCCATACTTTCGTGAGCGTAGAATATCGGCCCAGCAGATCTGAGCAATCAAAATCCACATGGGAAGTTTGGATTGGGGACTGTGCTCCAAACCAGATGTGATCCAGTCGAGATAGTGGTCTCGATCGAGAAGCTGCTCGGCGTAAAAACTGGTGGCTAATCGTATGGCATAAGTCACCTTGACCTTCCAGTCTGGCTCGCCAAACGAAAAGGTTGTGGATTCGATAAACTGTTCCACAAAGACTGTCCAGTCTCTGATCCACTTGAACTCGCCGGCAATGGCAAAAGCACCACCACCAGGAGCTCCCTTCCTCTTAAAGGCTCGAATCTCGTTGGCGCCAACACATTTGGCCAGCCAGACAGCCCTTTCGGTAGGAACGCTCTTATTCAGGCACTGGTCGAGAAGGGTTCGGCCGCGAATACCGTGGGGGATAGTCCTGCTAAGTCGGCGAAGAGAGATGGCAGGATTGGCCAAATCTCTCATCCATACCTCTCGCTTCGTATCGGTCAAAGTGACTCGTGGGGGAGGTTTAAAAGTCGATGGGGCCGTAACGTGGCCTCGAAGTCTGCGCTGGTTAAGAATACCCATGAATATGGTAGAAAGAGCGCTCATGCCAGGCTTTTGCTTGATAGCCGGGGATATGGTCATTCTCGCGGTGCCCGTCTCGTTTTGGGTGCCGCGGTCCCACGTACCCTTTGTAATCGCCTCTGGGGTCCAGTCGTCCTCGTGGTGCTTGATATCCTTGGTACCATGCCAGGGAAAGAAGTCGGCATTTCCGGAATAGAGTCCCCGACTGAACGGATCGCCGTCTTTTGTCATCCGATCGCTACTTGTTGGAGGTGGGCGTTTCTCGGCAGGAGGATAGCGCGGAGCGTCTTTGGGAACTTCAACAGTCCATGGCTTCGGGCGACCATCTTTTTTGAAGGCCGGTGCGGGACGCGGAGGAGCTTCCAGTCGTTTCGATAATAGCTTTGAGTATGTTTGCGATGCCGGCAGGCGTCGTTTGGGCATGGGAAAAGGGATGTTGTCGTTGTCGAGGTCGGCAGCTGAGGCTCGGGTGGGCGTTGGACTCGAGGCGCCAACATCTCCTCCGTCAGCCATGGACGGCACACGCGACGTGGTGTGGCTCTGGGGCGACGAAGCAGCAGACGTTGGAGCCGAGGCCGTGGCCGATGCCGTGGTCGATAGCAGCGCTGAGTTTCCGTGCGGCGGGTCGATGTTGGACAGCTCGAGGCGCAGTCGAGAGCCCGCTCTCCGCGGCGTGGTTACGAGGCGGGCATGGTTCTGGGCTTGGGTTGTGCTCTGGCCATGCGTCTGGGCCTGGAAATGGTCGATGGAGTCGCTCGAGGCATCGCTGAGGGCCGAGTCCTTGCGCACGGGCGACGAGGGAAACAGCTGCTGCGACAGAGCGCGTTGAGGCGGAGGCCGCTGAGCCGGCGGCAGCGTCGAACTGCTGATGGTTCGCTGCGGCGGTCGCGGGTGGACGCCGATGGGGGTCCTGGAGGTCATCTCTCAGACGGGAGGTGAGGCGCCATCCCGTTGCGTTGCCGGCTATAGAGGTGGATAGGTGAGTAGATGGAGGTTTCGACGGTGCTTCGAAGGGTCGACCAGGTGCCAGGCGCTAGGAGCCAGGTGCTAGGCAAGGTCTAGTCTGGTAGGACGAGTAAGCAATGGTGCAGCTTCGCCAGTAACAGCCGGGTCTCGGGAGCGAACGAAGGAGGGATATCGTTGACCCAGACGCTGGGGAAAAGAGGCTGGCGAGGGTGCAACTGATGCTCCAGCCAAGGCAGACGAGACGAGCAGAGACGGAAGTGGATGCTGATTTGAGCCCCGAGCAAATGGCACGGAAGCGTCAACCGGTGGCCGGCAGAAGGGACTGGAGTTTGTATTTTCCCGCTGTACCCGAATATCAGCCTCCAGCCCCGGGCGTTGCAGCAGAGGAGCACCGCAGATTGCAGATTGCGATAACGCAGCCTGCACGGACGATTGATTTGCGTACCTTTTTGGGGGAGAGGACGTGGAGGTGACGATGCAATGGGTCGCCGCAGACGAGGCAGGGAAAAAGAGAAGAATCCTCACGATGACGGGAGTCTCCAATATGGGAGGAAGGAGATGGATGATGGACGGGCCAGAGCGAAGCTGACGGCTGCCACCTGCTAATTTTTGGCTTTTTCGGTCAAGGCACAGGGTGCTTGTATCTGTACCTGCGCCTGTGCCTGTGCTCGTAGCGCGCACGGATAGAGGGCGGTCCGTACCTATCAGCACCCTGGACACTGTACATATGCAAGCCGGCGAGAGGGTGGTAGGGGCCTGCACTGGCGCCTGTAGCGTTTGCTTGGGCCGCCACAGATGGTGTGACGGGGGGTTAAAACGGGGGCTGGTAGAACCTAACAGGCCGAGTGTTTCTCACAAAGACAAACAAGTGCCTGATTCTGATTTGAATAGACATGAAGAAGAGCAACACGAAGCGATCGATCTGCGGGCGCGAGTTGATGGCAAAAAGGGCGGTGCGGGCTACTGGAAGGAGGCTAGCGCCTGTGCGGTGAATTGCGGCCTGGCACTCGCTGTGGCACTCGCTGTAAGACACTCACTGCCAATGTGCGCTGCGCTACGGGCAGGTCATTTCGTTGAATTGATGTTTGCATGATGGGGTTGATATTGAGATGAAGTTTGTATCTATTCAGTGCTTTTTGGTCGGTAACAAGGACTTGGATTACGATGGCCAAGTCTAGTGGTGTTTTTGCATAATGCCACGTACTACTCGGTATTCCTCGAATGCCCGTGATTCTCTGTTTTCTTCCTCATCTTCCATCATTCGTGGGCAGTGCGAGCTCGATGTGCATCTCTCAATGGGTTTTACGCCTTGCAGGCCAGAGAATGCGGAGAAGGGGACGCTAAGCTGGAGCACAGGCGTCGAGAAAGCCCCAGGTAACGATACTTGGGCTTACTAGCAGCACGGTCAGCGATAAGAGCACAGGGAGGACGAGATTACTGGCTGCTAAACACTGCTAGCCCCCAGCCACACACATGGCCTCGAGATGAGATTGCAGAAGAGCAAGCAACATTTGAAGCTACCAGCCGCTAATTCAGCCGCGGGCAAAGTATGGCATCCATCCGCCAGCATCCCGAGAGACCCCAGAGCCGGCTTTTGCGTTATTAGGCGCAGAGAGGAGCCAAGTCTGTCAAGGCTCTCTGATGACGGGAATATCTCTCGCCTGAACGCATCTGAGGGGCGTGCAGTGCTTCCTCTTTCGGCCGCAGCGATATCAACATTATATCGCATTGACGGCACCGAGCCGCCTGCATTTCAGGGCCTTAGAGGCTATCAGCACACTAAAGACGCAGCGCTAACCCTTGGCCGGCTACTTGCTCCGTAGGGACGCGGACTTGCACTGTTCCATGGCGGCTAATCCTTAGGTAATCCAATCATGGATATTCTTGCGTTGTGGCTTGCTGCGGCCACCGCGTTGCAGCCATCTCCAAGATTTCCCCTCGCATGATTTATGCTAGGCCTAGTTCAATGGCAGTGCCAACGTATCATACAGGGCCATGGCAATGTTACGCACTTGGAGCCGATTCAAGACGCGAAAGGGAGGCAAAAAAGAAGCTGGTCACGATGCCGGCAATGTTTCCGAAACACGTCCAACTTTGCACGACTCATGACTTGACTCGACTGGAGATGAACCTTTTGTCGGTTCGGCGTTTATCGCTATGGTTTCGGCAAGGGGTGGCTTTTTTCTTCCAACATTTTACCCGGATCGATCCCATTACGGAATCATAGCCTTGCTATTACTCAGTCGAGATATTTTCAACGGAGAATAAACCGCCAACCAAACTAGTCGCAACTACACGTACCTGCTCGGAAGGATGAAGCATGCATGTACAAGTAGGTATACGGGTTGACGAGGAGGCGAATAGGCCAAAGACAGCCGGACAAACCGAATCCGCCACCTGGTGAGGCTGCTGTCCATTCTGTCTGCACCTAGACAGTCGACGGACACGCAGCAAAAGCCCAGCACCATGCATGGCTCTCGCTCGCCGTATTTGATTTGATCTCGTTGATCCTCTACTGCTACCCCGTCTCTCCGTCTATGTGGGAGGGGCACGCCGCCACAGTTTAAAGAGCGCATACCATTCGATGTGCCTTGCCCGCATGTGCATGCAGCCACGCGGATGCATACTGGCAGGCAGGCAGAGGCAAGGCGCAAAGAAACTGACCGAGATCAGTCTGGCCCGGCCATGAATGTAAGCAGGCAAGGTACCATACATTGATGCTGGAAACTTTGTTTGGAAACAAAGCTCCTGATTACTGCTCCTACAGCTTCATGTACCTATAACTGCATTACAACTGACAATATAGCTCTCGGCTGACCCCGTACGTCCCCCCGTCTTCCACATGCAGTAGTGCCAGTTGTGGGCGACTTAGCATCGTGATATGCGCATGTGGCGCCGTTGCATCATCTTTGCAACGAGTCTCCATCACCAATGGCAATTAGTCAACACCACAAGCCCCGACAACTACTTGATAGCTTCAGGCTGAGCCGTTTTCGAAGCGGTGAAGCTCTTTCTCTTCCTCAACGGTCTATTACTTGCCTTGTTGTACCATTTACCAAGAAGGATTCAATGGTGCCTATTAGCCCCATGCCATCCTCCGGCCTATTATTCAACGACGGCCTATTCCTGGTGGATCCCCCGGCTACTGTCTCTCCCTTTATCGTCTGTCAGAGCTACAACAACGCGGAGTGGTCGGCCCAAGTTTGAAGTTTACCGTATGTAAACTGAAACCAACCATTTGTAGTTGGCGTAGCACCGGGCAAGGGAAGAGCCGGGTCTCGTATCGGACAGCCAGATCTGCAATCCAGCCCACTCTTTGGGGCAGGAGATTCAGACGAGACATTGTCTTGATCCATGCTCCATGCTCTACCCACGAAGCTATTTGTACATGTATGCTCACGGGGTGCATGCCTATATGGCTCCGGGTACATGTACTGCCCACCTGCAAAAGCATGATTCTCGGCAGAAGCCATTGGCCAAGTAAGACGAGATGGAGGTGGAAGATAAACTTGCATTAATGCTCTGTCTGGCGCCCCAGGGTAGCATTTGAGCAAGACGATGATGGGTCGGCACAAATATCCAAATATCCGGGCTACACTTGAAATGCTGTGATACCCTGAGCTCCCGACAATAAGCTCAGACGCATATGCGCGGTTTGGGCACAAATACTGGATATAACGCTACATCAACTTTCCCTCAACAGCTATTGCTATGTATCTCTTTTCAATAAAAAAAAAAGTTGTCAAGCGTCTTGGCAAAGGCCGTGTGTTGTCCATGAGAATCCACGCAGCCATATATAGGTTGCTAGGCGTGTACATTACATGTGGTTTTGCTTACCCGGCAAAAATACCAGCGTGGAGCAAAACAGAGCCAATACCGTCAAATTGCAACCCCTTTTGCAGAAAGTTTTTGATGCCATTACTTTGAATCCTCAAAAGAAAAGAGAGGAGAAGAGAAAAAAAAAACTGCAGATGCCTTTTGTCCCGGTACATCAGTTGCGTGATCCCCCCGTCCTTGCTAGCATCGGGATCCATTTTAGCCTCCAGACTGCTGCTGCACGATCCGTGCCGTCTTTCGCGCCTCCGTAGAGGTACGTGTACAAATAGGATGGCTACCCGGCCTGCATGTGAAGTCAGGACGCAACGCATCGGATCGGGCCCCTTCCGGGTCGGATGAATGGCGAGGCAACAACAATATCCATACTGTAGCGGAATACTAGTAGCCGTGCGTATAAGCCAAGGCCCAACGCACCGCTTGTTTTCAGGCGTCCGCATCGTTACACGAGATGCTTGGGCATACCTACTTATTTTACTCGTCTTTTTTTATTCTTTGCAAATCTGTCTGTCATACCCCATATTATACGTTTGTATCAAAAAGTTAGTTATACAAGCGGGAAATTGTCAAAGAGATGCAATGCAAGGCCACGTTGACAGTCGGCTCGCTCGCTATTGCCAACCTTGAGATTGATATCTGCTCCAACAACTAAAAAGTCTCAGCTACAGCCAATTGTAGTCCTAAAAAATAATGATTGTAGTATTGATAGTATTGATGCTAGCTTGCGAAAATGGTCAGGTAAAAAAAAGAGAGAAGATGAAACTGTAAAACGTAACATCATTGACACAGCTAGACTACATGTAACATTGCCACATCATATCGTCCAGTCACACACATTGGTCATACAAATTTGGTCATGGCCACCTCTTCGCCACAATAGACAGGTCACGCAAAAATCAAATCCTGCTACCTGGTAAATCAAAGCTCATCACCCTCATCGGCCGCGCTCCACTCGCTCCAGCCCTTCTTCTCGCCAGGCAGCTGAACCTGCTCCCACTCGTCCTTGGTCACCTTGTTCCACTCCTCAATGGGGATCCATCCAATGTACGCACGGTCGCCGAAGCCGCCAATCCAGTACACCTTTGTGACCACCAGTCTGGCCCATTCACTGGTGTGAATCTTGTTGCCTGGCAGCCAATACTTTGCGTCCGGGTGCTTGGACGTGTAGCAGTAGGCGAGCCGGAGAGACTCCTTGAGATCGGGCTGGATGGGCTCGAGGTAGCCAATCAGCGAGAATCGGGGGAGATTGGCCGCAGAGTAGGGCACCGTGTCCGGGAGAGACGAACCATCTGCTACATCGTCGTACTTGTCGCTGATGTACGGAAAGTATGAAAGCAGACGCGACAGCAGCGGAATGCGCCTGGCGGGCGGGTATGGCGGAGTCCATTGCACGGACAGCGTAAGGTTGGATCCCGCCTGGGCGTTTCTGTAGCTGGTGGAAATCCTGATGGCTAGCAATGTCGGGTGCCCTTGGCCTTCGCAGTCGGCAATGTACTCCATCTGGCCGAATGGCTGGCCGTCGAGACCTTCTGGCCGATTCTCCGTCGCGTCAGCAGCATCTTCGCTGGACGACGACGACGACGACGACGACGACGACGACGACGACGACGATGAAGAATTGGGAAACGTCGATGACAGCGTGCCGAGCTTCGTCAGGGCCAGGACGCGGCGGCCCTGAACGGCGGACTCGTAGCTGGATGGAATGCGAGAGGCGAAGCTGTTGTCAAAGCCGCCAAAGAGCGGACCGTGGAGCTCGACGGCGGTTGCACAGCCGGTGAGGCCGGTGATGACGCTAAGCAGCTTCATGGTGGGCAAGTAGTAGAACGAATAAAGGGCGAGAAAGAGCACAGAGCTTCAGAATTCACCAATGTGATTGGTTAGCCAGTTACACAGCTGGATTGAAGCTGCATGTAGTAGCAGCACTGAATAAAGGAACCTTCCATTTGGAAGTAAAGAGCAGGCGACTTACTTAAAAGTATCACGGGTTTGATGGCAATTGCCGTCGGTGAGGAGTACGAGATGAAAGAAGGGGAGATCGGCTCATTAAGCCGTGGGGAAAGATGTCCCCCTGCTCGGTTGGCTCTGATCAAGTGATTGCGGGATGGCGTCGGCATGTGACGGGCGAGATTGATTGATAAGATCAGAACTGGGGACGTGATTGGCCGGATTGGGGCAATGCCGACGCACTCCGGCTCTATGAATCGTTCGATTTGTGCGGAGTATCTGGCCTAGCTATCCATGTGCTTGTAAACAGTGTGTTTCAATTGAGCCGTGAGCAAAGTGGATGATGGAGTTGCGAGGTTACAATTATAGATTCTATCTGCATGTAGGTACATGTGCTTTGTTCAGCCTCTGATATCTTCTCGCATACGCCGTCTTGTAAACCGGGAGACGGGTGTCAACTCAAATGTCTGCACCAATTTGACGGTGGGTAGCTGGGGATACAGCCTTCTCGCCTCTTGATCCGTCATCTGCTCCAAAAAGCTCTCAGCCAGCGGCAACATTGGATAACGATGCGACATCCACCCTTTTGAGAGGAGCATTTTGGCATCTCTCCAAGCCTTCATCTTTTCGGCTGGAGGTCGAATTCGGTCCTGTAGCCTCGTCACGGCTTCCCTGTGCCACCAGCTCATGGCATTGGTATCGTCATTGCCAATCACACAAAGGATTTGCTCGAGATGCTCGAGCTCTTGGTCGTCTTCCACATCGATCAAGGCAAATGACTGGTCCCTGAACAGCCGAGCCACCGCCTGCGGCTGCCATGACCGGTTGTCGACCTGAAATGGATTCCCCACTGAAAGGTAGATGGTCTTGACGCTTTGGAAATGGCTAGACTTGCTGTTCAAGCCGGTTATCGACAATTCATTAACGAGGCCCACGTCGAGTATGATTGTCCTCGCCCCTCGAAGAAGACCCGTCTGCAGAGGGATGAAACCATTTTCCGATAGGCAGTAAGAGGAAAGATCCAGCACGTCTCTCCGTCCACTGAACCAGGTCCAAAACACGGGGGCGAGAAAGTCGTGGCGGTACAAGGTCCCTTGCAGATATGCAACCTGTCGAGCTTCTCGGCAGACGCGGGAGATTGTTGGGGGAGGGAGGCTCTTGCGTTGCAGATGAGAAGGCTCCAAATAGCGAAACGGCCTGAAGACCTGCGAAGGAATAGCCAGCCTCCATATGTGACGCCTCAATTCTGGCGGCAGACGGGAGAAGGGAGCGAATTCGGCCTGCCTTTGGCGATACGACTCGAGTTGACGACCCAATTCTATGATGCGCTGCTCCTGGACGATTTGGATATTCTGGAATCTCTTGACTGTTTCCTGCATCTCTTGAAGGCTCTCAGCAACCAACTTTTGGTATTGACTCGAGGGATCCATGGTGGCAGACGGAGCTTTTGCCTTGAACTATCGCCAAGCTACATGCAGACTACATGTACCCAAACAAAGCAAAAGGCGATGATGACATTATATATGAGCATGGAATTCAAAGAGTGAGAAACGCACCACATGTGTGGTTGTCGTGACGGAATATGAATGTCTACATGGCAGTGAATCTCTGCTGTTGAAAAGGGCATCACCATCAAAGTCGCATCTACGGACTAGAGCTTTATGAGTTGGTCTTCATCTCATTGTCTATTGGTATGCCGTGTGCTTTGTTCAAACGGCGAGTGGTGCTTGATCACGGCCCCTTGAAAGAACTGCCTTTTTTCATGTGAGGAAAGCTGTGGGTGTACTCTATCGAGAGTGCACTGACTGTGAGCATCTTTCATTGTAAAGAGCGGTGTTATGAGTGTAGTGCGCATACATGTAGTTGTATAGAGATGAAAATTCACAATGGTCAGCAGTGAGTCATTGTCAACAGTGTCAGTGAGAGAGGGCAGACTTTTTGTTCTCAGCTGAGCAACAATTCATATCATGTCCTCATGGCAACACCTCCCACCTCAAAATGGATCTGTTTGTTTGTTTATTTGTTGTGATGAGAAATCCCGTCTTACATGCATAGGCAGGCTGCATATATGTAGTGGTAAGCGTTGGACATGGCTCCAAGTTGCACAAGGCACAAGATTCCAAACAAAGCATTTTGCTTGTCATACTTCCGCATGCGGGTATTTGCTTTGCTTTTTGCCACTCAAAGTCATTGCTTCTTCCCAATTCGACAAAATCTCTTTGTTTATCGTAGCACCACTATTGTGTGCGTGCGTGTGCCGGTATCTAGTTGTATAATGAATTGTAATTAGCATACCTCTTGTTGTCATGGAAATGAGCCTCTTCAGCTCAGACAACATAAGCAAGCGACGCTAATCTCCATGCAGGGTTCGGAACATCATCTGCAAGGAATCCAACTGAGACATTTGACATTTGACATTTGACACGGGGAATAAAAAAAAAAAAATTCGTATTCGGCCAACAAAGAACCTTAAAAGTACAGAGAGAGAGCACGAGAAAGCTGAAACAAAGCTCCCCCAGAGCTGAGACCACCCCCCCGCTGCTGAGGTCATCGCTGCAGCGCCCCTCCGCTCCCATGGCGGGAGCCACAAGGGGACAGGGAGGGGGGGCGCTACAGGGCACAAATCAGAGCGCTGGCACTCAATGCCACCGATGGCGCTTGTCGCTGCTAGCACCGATAGCGCTGCAATTTTCTGGGCTAGCAGGCCCCGGTGCCCTGTGGAAGGGCTGTTTGGCTGTTTGGCGCGCAGGTGGGCTCCTGTGCTGCAGCTGTTAGCGGGCTCTCCCAGCAGCCTCAGCGCCCCCACCCGCACCTGGATGATGCTTGTTGCTGCTGCAACCATGTTGATTTTGGACTGGCTTGATCCAATCGCCGCCTCGTCTCCAACATCCCACGTACCGGAAAGGCCAGCCCCCGGTCGCTTTCTTAAATCTTGCGAGCGGCAGCGAATGACAGCCTTTTGACGAAGCGATCCCAGAGCCCAAAAGAGTGGTTGACCAGATTATCGAGCCAACTGTCCATCTGCGAATCCATCACTCGGTGGCCTTGTCCGGCAAAATAGAAGGGCTACGAGAGAGCAGCTTTGTTTTGTTTACGTTGTTTGGGTTCGTTTTGCACCACCTCGCGCTTTTCCACTTCTCTCTTGTCTTCAGATTTGCTGACTCTCTTTTGCTCTTCCGCGCTCATTTACAGAGACGTGACAGCATCCATCTTCTCTTTTCTCAGCACATCCTTGGCGCTGCTAGCATTGAATCCTTTGAGGCATCTTTCCATCATTCCTGCTGCTTGTCTTGTCTTCTGCATTACCCATATTTCAAAACATTGAATATCGATCGATTCTGTTGGATCAAACTCCAAGGAGGGGGATCTGCAGACGCACAGAACATCTGCCTACTAGTTATCCTAGTTATCCATTACCATATACGCGCATCCATACAGACGGAAGCAGGAACAGAAGCAGAAGCAAAAGCGGACGTAAAAGCAACGGCAGATCGACCCAACCAACTGCTGCGGCCAGGCATCGACTGCTACAGTAGATACTGCTTGCTTGCTTGCTTAATCTGACTTGACTTGATTTGCTCCCGTCGTCCGCTACTGCAGACGCTCACCCACCAGCCAATCGATCGATCCAGCTCGCTTGCTCTCCCCTGGTCGCCCAGTCCAGTCCACTCTCCACCGCTGCCGCCACGTCACGCCTTGCAGTGGGTTAAAGAGGGAAAAAGCAAGAAAAAAAAAAGATGGCCAGCTTCATGTCGACCTTCTTCCCCGGCAGCTCCAGCGTCGGCACCAGCAGCTCCGGCAGGGACAAGGCGCGGGCTGGAGACGCACACGCCGAGCCTCGCCCCGTCACGCCCACCATGAACAGCAACAGCTTCATCAACCCGCTCAACACGCCGCTGGGCAGCCCCAGCAAACGGACGATGCCGCCCGGCGCGAACGACCTGCCCACCGCCTTTGACGCCGCCATGAACCTCAACCTGGGCTCCAACGTGAGCTCCAACGTCAGCTCGAATCTGAGCTCGAACCTGAGTTCCAACCTGAGCTCCAGCTCCAGCGGCGGCGGGTTTGACGCTCCCGTCAGGCTGACGCCTCGCCCGCAGAGCGTCATCGCTCCGCTTTCGCCCTCGCCGACCAAGGCCAACGGCAGCAGCAGCCCCAATAACACCAACGGCAGCGGCAAGAGAGCAGCGCAGCTTCCCCCCCAGTCTCAATCTCAATCTCAGCCTCTGTCTCAATCCCAGTCTCGGACGCCGCAGCCTCGGACGCCGCAGCCCCTCACTCTCCAGTCTCTCGAGCAGCAGCAGCGCCAGCAAGATGAGGAGGAAGAGGCCGCCCTCCCCCTCGATGGCAGCGTCGTGCAGAAGAAGATGCCAAAGGTGGACAAGGTAGAAAAGGCGGAAAAGGCGGACAAGGTGGAAAAGATGCAGAGGACAGAAAAGGGGAGGGCCTCGCCTGGCTCACCGCGCAAGCGACATGCCCAGCCCGCTCAGGCTCATGATGCAAATGCGCCGCCGGTGCCTCGTCTCGCCCAAGACCAAGACCGCCACCCGCACCACAGCCATGCCGCGCTCTCTCGCCAGCAGATGTACGATACCAAGGGGGAGCGTCCCATCATCGCCAAGAGGTTTAACACGGCTCGCGGCTTGACGGCCGAGGAGCGTGAGATTCTGCAGCGGCCCAATGTGCGCCGCATGGTCAATGTTACCCAGCTTTGTAAGTTTTTGTTGCCGCCATTGCTGCTTCTTACCACTTACTACTCCTGAGCCTCTGACTGACATGATGGACTCTTTGCCCTAGACTTCCTCGACTACTACTTTGACCTGCTCACATATGTCGGTGCGCGGCAGAAGCGCCTCGCCGCCTTCAAGAGCGAGTTCCCAGCATCCCCCGAGACTGACCCGGAAACCCACCGAGTGTGGTCCAAGTACACCGGCCGAGAGCGCGCCAACCTTCGAAAGCGTCGCATCCGATTAAAACAGGGCGATTTCCAGATCCTCACCCAGGTCGGCCAGGGCGGCTACGGCCAAGTCTTTCTCGCTCAGAAAAAGGACACGCGCGAGGTGTGTGCGCTCAAGGTGATGAGCAAAAAGCTGCTCTTCAAGCTGGACGAGGTGCGCCACGTTCTGACGGAGCGAGACATCCTGACGACGGCGCAAAGCGACTGGCTGGTTCGGCTCCTGTACTCGTTCCAGGATGATAAGAACATCTATCTCGCCATGGAGTACGTGCCTGGCGGCGACTTCCGTACTCTCCTTAACAATACGGGGGTGCTGTCCAACCGACATGCGCGCTTCTACATTGCCGAGATGTTCTGCTCAGTCGACGCTCTCCACAAGCTCGGTTACATCCACCGCGACCTGAAGCCCGAAAACTTCCTCGTCGACTCCACGGGCCATGTCAAGCTGACCGACTTTGGCCTCGCTGCTGGTGTTTTGGCCCCGTCAAAGATTGAATCCATGCGCATCAAGCTGGAACAGGCTTCCGAGACACCAGTGCCATTTGGCAAACCAATAGGTCAGCGGACGGTGGCCGAACGTCGTGAGAGCTACCGAACCATGCGGGACAAGGATGTCAACTACGCAAAGTCCATTGTCGGCTCACCAGACTACATGGCTCCAGAGGTTCTCAGAGGAGAAGAGTACGATTACACGGTGGATTACTGGAGCTTGGGCTGCATGCTGTTCGAGGCCCTGACCGGCTTCCCTCCATTCGCTGGTTCGACCCCTGACGAGACGTGGCGTAATTTGAAGCACTGGAAAGAGGTTCTTAAGAGGCCCGTCTGGGAAGACCCCAACTACTTTTTGAGCAACCGGACGTGGAACTTTATTACTACGTGAGTTTCTTTGCATCCATACCCCTTTACTCTACCGAAAGCTAACAAGTAGCCCCTCCTCTTAGATGCATCAATTCACGCACCAAGCGCTTCAGTGAGATCAAGGACATCTTTGCCCACCACTACTTCGCCGAGGTCGACTGGGAGACGCTGCGCCAGACCAGGGCGCCCTTTGTGCCAGAGCTGGACTCTGAGACGGATGCCGGCTACTTTGACGACTTTGGCAGCGATGCCGACATGGCCAAGTATAAAGAGGTCCACGACAAGCAGCAGGCCTTGGAAAGCATGGCCGAGCGCGAGGAGGAGATGAGCAAGAGTCTCTTTGTCGGCTTCACGTTCCGGCACCGCAAGCCTGCTACCGATGACGGTGACGGCAGCAACAGCCCGCGGAAGCGCATCCCGACCGACGACTCGTTTGGTACCATGTTTTAGGGTGAGCCATTGTGGTACAATTGGGGATATCGCAGGCCCCCTGCGATACGTCGGCCTCAGCTGTTTTGATTTTTTTTTCTTCTCTCTCTTGCGTGTCTGACAAGTAACAAACAAGCACTTTGGGCCCCTTTTTTCTTTTTTCTGTCTGTTTTTATCTTGGCTTGGCCTCTCAGGGGGGGTTTTCCTATTCTTTTGACATACCACTGCGAAAAGTTCTTGTTTCTCCCTTTTCGTTTTTGCTACATGGCATCTTTCTACATTTCATCTGTTGCCGGTTGGGATACCAAAGTAATTTCTTCTAATGTACTGCTAGCCTCTTGTCACTGTGTCTCCCTTTTCTAGTTCTCTTCCACCATCGTTCTGTTGTCCTTGGATTTTACCCTTGGATTTCTTTCTTGTCACGCTTTCATTCGTTTTCTTTCTATTTTCTGGCTTGGAATTGCAGAGATGGTCACTGGTAATTACAATCCGAGAGGGGAGCGCCATAAAGTGAGGGGGGGGGGCCTTGAGTAGGCTATTTTTTTCTTTTTTTCTTCACTTGTTCTTCTTGATGGCATTGAAAGAATAAAAAAGATTGGTTGGAAACATGGCCGGGGTGGTGGGCTGAATTTGCCAGGACAAGGGTTATTTTCATTGCGTGTGTGTGTGTGGCATATTGGGTATGAATAGTCTCCGCCCATGGATGAATGGCGATGGGACTGTTTTTCTTGTTGTTTTGAGAATCCCTTCATGTAGGAGTAACGAGTATGAGTATATGGTACACAGGTAGATGAATCAAATGTATGGCTTTGTATCCGGGTTTGGCGTGACGTCCATTGCATAAAGAGGGAGATTTCGTCTATTGATTATTAGCGTCATCACCACGAATCTTTGTCATCACACATCTTCTTCATCATCAAAGATTCAAACATCTTTCTCGTCATCACAGGTCTGTCTCGCAGCTGGGACATGGCTTTCTCAACACTAGTCTTTGATTCCGATCCAAAAATTTAACAATAAAACTCATCTCTGTCATCTAAAAGGGAATAAGGTAAAAAAAAAGAGGCTGCCTTCAGGGCATCGATTGAGGAAAATAAACGAGCCAGCGCCGCCACCATTATCCAAAACTCAGTGTATGGAAAAGAGAATAAATCAAGGAAAAGAAAAGAAAAGAAAAGGAAAAAAAAGACAAAAACATCATCCCATCTCATGCGGCGAGAGGCCAAACTCCGTAGCGTTATCATCGACCAGCTTTCCTTTCCTCTAAACTCGGCTTAAAAGAGTGCGAAAAGTCCTTTCCCTAAAGTTGGACAGTTTCGTCTGTTGAGGCCTCGCGGTTTCAAAAAGTACCATGTTGGGTCTCCTTGGAAGCAGCGCGCGCGCTCCTTTCTTGCTGTGCCAGTGATTAAAGCGCTGATGGAATAAAAATACTATAAAAACGCTTTCTCGAATGTTTTCCCGCCCATGTTATTCCACCCAGATAAAAAAAAAACTTATTACCAGACTGTGTGCCGACTCTTGCTTGCAAAGAAAGCAAAAAGGAAAAAGGAAAAAAAGAAAAAAAGACACCAAAAATAAAAATTCAGACCCAGGTATCATTGCTCGAACCAACACGCCATGGAGATGCCCATTCATATACGCCCTTGTTCCCTCGACGTCGTGATAAGACTCTTTCGTTAAATAAAGCAATCAAGCCAAGCCGCCTGCATTACCAGCGACGTAAACTAGTCGTCGTCTCTCTTCAAATATATCCGCTCTTTCTTCTGAGGCCGCCGTCTTTTGTGAAATCTCTCACTCGACTAAAAAGAAAAAAAAAGAGATAAAACATGTTAAGGTTGAAGAAAAAAAAAAGAAAAACTTTACTAGCCATACGTCGTACAGCAAGCATTCACAAGCAAGCCCTGTGCTCGTGAAAATCTAAAGCTTCTGTCCAGGCATCGTGGTTGATGGTTTAACAGGACAATTCTTTCAAAGACTCATAGTCAGCCATTCCCATTCCTGGGGTCCTGACGAGCCACCAGCGCCACTGACGAGGCCGGACTGAGTGCCGCCCATCGATACCATGTTGGATCCTATGCTGGATCCCATCATGGAGCGCTGACCCATGGAGAAGTTGGTGCTTGACATCATCGTGCTTGAGATGGAAGGCATGCTGGGAGTCGTGCCAAGAGGTCGCGGGGCAGATTCTGAAGGACTGTCAAGGTCCATGGCTGATGAGTTTGCCGTGCTTTCGCTTTTGCTGTGCCTGCGCTGTCTCTTTGACGGCGCCGTGGCCGGTCGAGACATGGAGGAAGCACCGGGTCCAGGCGCCGTCTTTAGCGGTGCAGCAGCGATTGGCACGACGCCTTTGCCGCCTACAATGGCTGCTCCCCCATATTGGCTTCCAGGTGTGCTTCCCGCGGTGAAGTTTCCACTGCTAGTGGGACTGTCGGCATCTTTGTTGCTGCTGGGGCGGTTCATTGACGGCGGTGATACGGCTGCCTGGTTGTTCACCACGGGCACAGCTACGGCGGCGGCGGCGGCGGCAGCTGCGGCAGCAGACATGGACAGCGTCGAATTCTTCCTCGAGGCGGCATTGGAGCCGGTGCCGGCCTTCTTCCTCGTTCCTCCTACGGGCAGGTTGTTGCCAGATCCCCGGTTTCTCTTCTTGATGACGTCCGTCTTCAAGCTGAGTGGTCGCACCACGCCGTGGAGCTTCAGGAAGAGGCCGCAGGCATTGCAGAGAGGCTGGCCCTCGGGGTTGCGTCTCCACAGCGGAGTCGTCTGCGTGAAGCAGTTGGTGCAGGTGGTGGGATTGCCGTTCTCGCCAGCGTTTGCACCCGCCGCCGGCAGATTGGTGGTAGAGCCATGCTTGGAGCTTGGGGGCGGTGAGGGCGGCCTGCTTGGCGCAACCGACGAGAAGCCCGAAGCGTTACCAGCGGCGTTGCCGCCCGGAGAGCTGGGAAGAGACTGGGCGATTTGTTCGAACCCGCTGTGCTTGTTTGTCATGTGCGAGGGCGTGGACGAGTTGCGAGGAAGTCTGTTTGGTCGCTTGTCGGCCCCCATGCCAAGCGTCTGCGAGTGCGTCTGCGAGTGCGATCGGCTCATGCTCAGGCCCTGGCCGTCCCAATCGCCGCTGTTGTCCACGTAATCAGTTGTCGTGACGCCTCCAATCTGGACATGCTTGCGAGTCGGGCCGCCAGGAAAGCGGGCGGCTTGCGTGCTAAACTGCCCGGGAAGCGAGGCATCCCAGCCAAACGATCCCGCCTCGTCGACAGCAGATGTAAAGTCGCCGTGGAGGCCAACGCCGCCACGGTCCAAAAACGTGTTGGCATCCTCGTCGTCATCATCGCCCCCGAAGCCAAGCATGTTGCCTTGCTGCATTGGCAAGACTGGAGATGCGACCTGGGAATCCGTCTGAAAGACTTGGCTGGGATCGATGTGGCCAAATGAGTTTGGGGCGGTGCTATACGCCGACACTGCTTCCACGCCCGTACTTGTCGAGGGGAAGTTGGCGCCGTTGCTGTTGCTGCCGCCGTTGGAATCGCCGTACATGAATTGCTGGTTCATGTGATGGTGGCTGATGCTGGAAGAGCTGTGTCGGAAGCCCTGCCCACGGTGGTGGTGGTGGTGGTGATGGTGGTGTTGCTGCTGCTGCTGCTGCTGCTGCGACTGTTGATGGTGGTGGTGGTGCTGCTGCTGCAGATCCTGAGAGGAGCCAAAGTAAACGCCACCATCGTTGTCGTTGATCGGGTGAGGTGTGGATGTAGCAGACGGATAACCCGAGCCAGTTGGGGAGTAAAAGTCGGGGTTGTTGAGAGAGGAATGAAGGGAGGCGTTGTTGTACATGGAGGAAAACGGCCCGCTGTGCATCATGGGAGACGTCGAGGGAGAGAATGAGAAGTTGGATTGGAAGTGGGCAGTAGAGCCCATAACGCCGTCGTTGTCCATGAAGGTATCGAGGTTGAAGGCAGAGGCTTGGTTGTTGGTCATTTGCTGCTGCATGGACGACAAGGCGTTGGAGTTGTCGAGAGAGTATCCATTGAGCTCAGGGTCGTTTTCCAAGTCGAGGGTGAGGGCGGATGAGCTGGGGTTGATGGCGCTCATATGAGGAGAGAAGTTGGCAGGTCGTTTTCGAGTCTTGATATCAACCATTGTAAGCCAAACAATACAGACAAGTAAAAGACAAATTATGACAATGTAGAAGATTAGAAGAAAACAAGGTCAAAGGGGAAAAAAAAAGGGAAAAGCCAGTTTTTCAACTGTTATTGGAAAGGGAAGAGACGGGGCTAAGCAGCAAATAGAATGGGAAAGAGAAGAGAACCAGAGCCATCAAGGACAGAATAATATGAGTAGGGGGGGAGAAAGAAGGAAGGAAAGAAGGAAATGCACGCATGCATGCATGTCAGAGCGAAAAGAGATGCAACCACCAAAAATAAAACGGGCGGTTGTAGCAACGACAAAAAAGAAAGGGGAGCGGGATTGTTTCTGAGCTGATGGATGGAGTCGTAACTCACCCGGCGGTCATCGATACTGGTCTTCCTGTCATGGCGCGGGACGTAATGGAATTCATCGTTCTGTCCCCGCTGGTGATGTGGCGGAACGGGGACCGACTGGGCCACGAACTGATTGGCAGAACCCTTGCGACCCTTGATGGGGATGGCGGCGGCCAGCGCCTTGGATGATCTGTTCTTCCTGACGGCAGCGGTCTGCGCCCCGGAGAGCGACGGCGCTGCAAGAGGCTGCGGTGAGCTGTCGGGGACGGAAACGGCGCCCTCGTCGGCAAAGATGAAGTCGTCGATGTTCATGGCATCCACGCTGGGGTCATGGATGTCCGAGGTGCTTCGGAGCTGCTGGGCAATGCCGCTGGGGGCGTTTTGTGGTTGCGCAGAGAGCAAGAGGGACCTATACGCAGAGAAAAAAAAAAGGGAAGAGGAAGTATGTCAGCCAGCGCCGGGATGATGTGATGGACCAGAACCCGCCTCCCCTCCACTCAGTCAAAGTAAAGCCACGCCATGTCCAGCTTGTAGTCACAGAAATAGAAGAACAGACCAATCACAGCGTATTGGCAAAGCATGAGATGGACGACCTAGCCGGGGGGGTCATGGAGGAGAGGGCAAAAAAATTATATAATAACGTACCTCTGCTGCCGCTCCTGGTCCTGCTGCTGCTGCTGGCGCTTGCGCAGTTCGAGGGCCATCATCCGCCAGGTCAGGTTCTCCATGCGCTGTTGGTTCGGCAGCTGCTCCTTGGTCTTGCTGAAGAACTTCCAGATCTGGGCGGCCAAGGGATCCTCGCGCTGCATCTGCTCGACGCTGCCAGACGGCCTGGCGCCGGTCTCGAGGGCCGGGAACAGCGCGGTGTCGAAGACATGGTGTTTTGACGGCGAGGCAGTTTGCTCGGCCGCGGCGCCGTTGGTGAGTGCGACATGGCCGTGGCCTTGGCCTTGGGGTCGCGTCTCCATGCGAGCGAGGCTACGGTCGGTGCTTGGAGGATCGGGTCTTCGCGGGAAGCGGTAGTCGTGCTCTGTGACAGTTGGGTGCATTGCAGTCGGGCTGACAGCTGCCATGAATTGCCGCGAGCTGAGAGCGAGCGATTGCTGGTTGAGCGGAAGGGCGAATCAGACAGACAACAGACAGATGCCTACAATGTCGGTCGTTGTACTCTGGCCCGGATTGCGTGCGGGCAGTAGGTAACAGGTATGATGTGAATCCTTGTGGAGGGGTGACAATAGAGGATTAGAGCAGAATAACCCCTGTAGCGGCACTTTTCTTTCTCTCTCTCTTCTTCTTTTCGGTTGCGTCTGGCTAGACGTGGGCTTGTGACAAGCGAAAGGTAAAAAAAAAAAAAAAAACAGAGTGGAAGAGAAGACGCAGGAAAATGGCTGGCGCCGCAGCGATGCTTGTATGAGTAGATGTGGAAAATCGCCGCACTCAGGCCGGGCGGGTCTTTTTCGTCAATCACACAGGACGACGAGCACAAGCAAGCAACGCAAAAGCTGGTAATACTTTAAGCTTCACCGTCAGCAGCGTTAGTCCCGTCAGTGGTGGCAGGATTCGAGTAGAGCGCCGAAAAGAGGACCCTCGGTGTGGGCTAAAGATTCGGGCGCGTTCGTTTTTGTCTTGTCTCGTCTTCCAGTCTTGGCCTGGCTCGTCTTGTCTTGTCTTGCCTGCCCTTGGCTGGGGGAAGCGAAACGGCTGGACTGGCGAAAGCGGCGAGCAGGTCGTCGAGACTGACTGTGGCCTTGCGGGAAATACTTGCAAGGTCGAGAGTCAGAGTCAGAGGCTGCGCGAGCGTCGCAGAACCAAGAGATGCTCCGATGGCAGGTGAATTAATTAGCAGCAAGATGGTTAGAAGCAAAAATGGAGCAGGCCAAGCCCGAGCATCTTTTGATGGAGACTGACCGATAATACTTCCGGGCCCGTACCTGCCGCGTTTCTCACGCTTGTAAGATGCCTGCGACGGCCGCTCGTTGTCGCCTCGATCGCAGGGCCCAGTACCTGCACCGCCGGTACTCGCTACTTGCCGCGGCTACCAGCAGCCCGCGCCTTGTTTCGCCGTGATCCCATACCCGCGGCAATGTACCACGCTACCTTGCGGCGGCGTACCGGATGATGGCGAAGAAGGGGGCCCTCGTGGCCCAGCGCCGTCGAGTCCCACTTTGGGAGGTACGGGAGGGTACATGCGCGCCTACGACAGAGGCAGAAATCACTTGGAGTTGGAGTTGGAGGCCGGGGACTCGTGGTTAAGCGCTCGTAAACTGAGGTGCTGCAAAAAGTACCACCTCATCCAGAATCAGTATGCATGGACTGTACGAATCCATGGGGGTTCCCATCATTTCTCATATTTTGCAAGCTTGCAGCAGAGTTGCTACAGTACCACTCCAGGCATGGCGCCAAGAAGAAGAAGCAGGAAATGCTACCATGCACTGCAGTTTAACAGCGAGAGAGCAGCGCAGCGAGAGAAAATCGGAGTGCGCAACACACCAGACAGGCCTGCCAGGCAAGACCCCTCCAGGGTCCAAGCACTAAAGAATCGTCTTGCTGTATGCGTACCGAGAACGGAGTCGCGCGCCGCGATGAATACTAGATTGAGCCCCACCAGCCAGAGAGCAGCGAGACATTGCCGTTGAATGGTTGCTACACTGGCCCGTAGGTACCCTCTCTGTGTGCGTGGCGCTGTAGGTACTTGTGTGTACCTTGTCCGAGCAAAGATCGCGACTCTCGGGTACGCACAGGGCCATCTGCCATGTAAGATGCAAACGTGATGCTTCGGCGCGGGTGGAGAGCGGCTTCACAAGACAAGACAGGAAAACAGCCGGTTCAGGACGATCATGAGCGCACCGCAAAAATCACAAATCATAAAAGCGTTGCTGCAGAGCGGGGAAGGAGACGAGGGGGGGGCCTTTCCCCTGCCTTTTTTTTTCGATTCCTTGTAAGTTTCCTGTCTGCTTTGCAGTGCCGTCTCTTTGCCATGATGGTGGTTGGCGAGCGTTTGTCGAGATGATCGTACTGAATGTAGTGAGGTACTCCGTCTTCGGTGGTACATGACTTGGACGGGATGGACCTGGCGAGTACAAGCCAGTTTCAGCTCTGCAAAGGCCCCGAGCTGGCTACCGGTGCTAGTTCTTTACACGAACCCGCCGTCCAAGTAGTTAGAGCCACTCGAAAATAAGAGCAGCGCTAGCATGTGCTTCTGCCTCGCAGCGAGCCGTAATGGACACGATCCTGTACGAGTACTACCTTCAGTACGTACTTTGCAGCGGAAAGGTGACATTATGTAGTGCTACCTGGCACCTTGTTGCGCTTCGGCCCCGCGATATGCACAGAGCGCCGGCTTCCGTGGCCCGTGGCCCGTGATGCTGCAAGTACTTGTCAACAAAGTGTATGAATGTACAGGCAGCACCGGACATGTACAGGGCATCAAAAGATACTGCTGCCTGTGGTTGACACTGCTGAAAACATATACCCAAACAGGGTTGGGTTGGAGGTGGGCAATGCCGCGAATGTCCAAGGGACCAGACCCTAGTCTCATTATGCGCTGCCTTGTGGGGGGCCATGCTGCGCGTGGGGGAGGCGAAACATGCCATTATGAGATGAAATGGCTGTGAATTACATGCTGCTATTAGTACAACAGTCGAGTCCGTTACTGCTAGTATCAACATACCTTGATACTCGTAGACGACAAAGTGCTGTAAAGTCTGTAAAGTCTTATACAACTGCCGGTTATATGTTGTACCGGGCTTGTGGACAGCCAACGGAGTAATACTTGAATCCCGGTACCTGTTAGCTTGCGGGACCATTGAATGCAATATCCATCCGTCTTGTTCGTATCAGCGGGAATAGCAACATCGACAAAGCCTGCTCCATTCTCGACTCCATCCAAGAGGCATTTGAAATAATCCTCAGACGCACTGTAGCCAACAGAGCAAGAATTCCGGAATATTCATTCAGAGGCAATCGCCACATAATGGCAATAACATCGGGTATTGACACTGCATCCATCAGTCATGGCTATTAGTAGTGGCGCTACTCTTTGGGCTACCGCAAAGCCTTGTGCATATCCGTACATTCGGAGGGCAATGTACCGTTGTGGTTGCACCTTGTCGTAGCAAGTCCCCAATCGAGCGTGTAAATGCCGGAGACCGGAATAGGCACTTAGTTTGAGCGTCTGGCGGCCCGTGGTGTTGTCGTCTCATGAAGCCGACAAGAGAGCCAAGCTGCTGGAGCACCCTCATGTCTGCAGTAACTTGATCTCGTCATGTTCCCGTTTCTTATCACAGCCACTGCGCCTTGCTAGCGGCAGAGCTTTATCGAGTTGGCCTGACCAAACCCTCTGACATGTGCTTGTGGACCCCCTCCATCTCCACCGTCTCCTTCTCCTCTCTGCTCCCCAAAACAGCTCTTCTGAGACGGAAAACAGCTGCCCCCCCCCCCCCCCCCCCCTCCATTTGCCTCCATTTGCCGCGCTCGCTATTCACCAAGCCTTCTCCCCGAATCCTGTCTGCTTGGCCGTCCTCCCCCACTCTCTAGCTGGCAGCGGGCCACGCGCCTGAGCCGGTTCGTTCTCGTGCATCGGAACCTCCCAGCCCGTTTCTGCATCCAACGGACGGCCAGCTCTCGGACCCTGGTCGATATCCTGGCAGCCCAGCACCCAGGCCCGGCAAAAAGGCTGCGAGGTCGCCCCTCCGCGCATCTCGGTGCTGCAATTGGTGGAACACGGCCGATGCTAGCTGAGAGAGGCAAGCCGTCGGTACCTCGTTCTGCCTCATCCGTGGTCGACACAAGCAGCTATGACGACGACGACGACCTGCTCGTCGATTCTTTTCGCTCTGCCCTTTGCCCTCTGCCTGAGCCCCCCCTGCCTCTTCCCACGTTCTGACCGGCAAGCTAGTTGCTAGCAAGAAACGAGAACCTACAAGTACTCCATAATGCTCCCGCTATTGGCAGGGTCTCGGACGGGCGGGCGGGCATTAACAGCTGCTTTGGCCAATCAGCCAGGCAAGGGATGATGTTCCTAGGACTCCAGGTCTCCAGGGTTCCATAACGCTTCTGCAAAGCGCTCCAAGAAAATGATGAGCAGTACCCGTTGCCTGCCCACTGCTTGTCCACTGCTTGTCCACAGTATATTGCCACCGAGTCTGCAAGTGCCTGAAGGAACGCTCCTCTACAGGCTATATTGCGTGCATCGCATCTTGTTAGTCTCGGAGTTGTAACCCCGAAGACCCAACAACCACCCCTTCCTTTGCCCGGTTCATCATTCCGCCATCCGCCTGTGCCTCGTCTTTTTTTGATTTTTACTTGGTGGTGCTGCAAACCTGCCATTTAGGCTCTTTGGGCGGATGTGTCCAGACCCTGTCAGCGGCCGTTCCCACCGGGAAACTCCCCGCCCGGGCCATGGGCCATGGATTGGATGCAAGAGAAGGCTGCCTGCATTTCAATAGATTGGCCGGTGCGCAGTTGCATGATGCAGCGTGATGGCTGCTGCTACTCTACTTGCCATGGCCCATGGCCAATCAGCATCACCAGACCCAGCTCGTTTTGCAAAATAAAATGTCCCGGCCACCGAAAGACAGGTACGATCTGGGACGCTGCATTGATATCGCTCAGCGCACTTTATTGCTGTCATGTCCTGTGTAACGTATGAGGGAAAGAGAGGGAGGCTGCTGCCCTTTTGCGGGCCGAGAGGCGGGATTCCATTGCTGGATGCTGCTTGCATCACACCACGACCCGAAATTCGGCCATTCTCAGCTGGCTTGGTAATGATTGACGGGTCTGCTTGTGGCGACTCGTAGTCTCCTGTTCTCTGCCAGTACATCCGTACAAAGCCTGGAAGCTGAAGCAACTGGCTAACCGCGCTTCGTTCCGTTATTATTAGGCCCGATAGATCCTGGCTGCCTGGCTGCCTGGCTAGCCCATCTAATGAGTAGCACGCTGCCGTGACGATGTGTCTCTCGCCGTGCCTCATCCTCCAAAATGGCCGCATCCAGCCCTGCATGCATATCGGCAGCAGGCGATTAAGCATGTCTCATCTCTTCTCTTCTAGCACGCATCGTGGTCAAAGCTGTCAACGTTGGATGTCTCAGCCACCATCTGATCAAAGCCATCAAGTACTACTGGTTGGCATTGTAGGTACAAGAGGGATTCAGCAGCCAACTGGCCGTTAGCCAGGGCTTCCGGATGGAGTTGGAGGCTGAACCGTTTGGCGCCTCAACAAGAGCCAAAGAACCTGTTATGTGGCCCTTTGGACCAATGGCTCAGCCAACAAGAACTGGACCAAGTTCCAATAACCTGACAGCCCAGCCATAGTCAAGCGCCACCAACTACTAGACTAGTCGATCCAGTTGCCGGCGTCTTCGTCAACGCATAAGCTCTAGCGAAAGAAACCTCGAGTTGCTTGATTGGGCCGAGCAGCCTTGCCGCTATAGACTCGAATCTGCTGTACAGTAGCACTCGGTTTGGCTTACCGAATGTAGCGTCATCTGCCCTATTGCCTTTAGCCGCCGGTTGCCATTTGCCATTTGCTTCAACCCTTTATCTCCCCGAGATAGAGTTGCACGGCCACTAACAGACAGATCGAGTAATATTTCAGATCGGATGGTCGGAATAAGAGACACGGCCATGTTTAGCAAAAACAGGGCATTCTAGAATATCCATCTCGACTGTCCCGAGGCCAGCGTGATGACCAGCTATGATTTGCATATGGAATTAGGTAGTAGCAGTGCACGGAGCATTTCGAGTCGCTGTACTTGAAAACTGGACGCGTAAAATCAGAGCCCTTGCAGATATTAGCGATTGATTCCCGTCTTCTCTCAATACCAGGCAGCAAAAGGATTGTAGGCCACATGTGTATTTGCCCTGCCACAACCGCAGCATTTCACTTTGCAATGTCTTTTTGTAATATATGTCGCCATTGGCCTCATATTCATCAAGAAGTCTCTGCTGATTTGACAACCTGAGAATTTGACGCGAAGGCGTCTACTTAGCGCTCTCGGAGCTGACAACGACACAGTTTGCCGTTGCACACAAATGTTGCTTGTTTTCAGTTTGACCTATAATAGGCAGTCAATATGTTTAGTCAATAATCAACGGCTGCCGCCTAGCCGAAGTCGATCTTTCCTCCTTCTGTCGGTGGAGATGTGATTTGCGTCAACGACTTGGATGAAACAAGCAACTAGAGTGGCTTTTTTCTCAACCCCAGTTCTGTCATAAGCAGCTCAAAAATATTTCGACCAAGGCCACAAAGAGAGACGTGTGGTTCATGAGAAGAGAAACAGGTAGTTGCGGTGAGATTAAGGCAAGAGAGAAAGTCTTGATATGCATATCAAGAGATGGAGCGCCACGACGTCTTCCCCTCAAACCAGTTACTCTCATCAAGCTGGGAGACTCATCTCCATGAAGAAGCTTTGTTCAATCACAATAGCGGCGTTACACTTACTGACGGCTGATGCGTCTGTGTTACAAACAGACGCATCACAGCAACTCACAAGCCAGCTTGTAATGAAAGGCAATGTCCGAGCAACTTTGGCACCTCCTTCCCCGTTGATTTTCAAAAACACATCGCCGGGGAAAGCCATCAAGCCTGGAACAGAGCTCCGAATTCTTCCAGTCGGAGACTCCATCACATATGGATTTCTGAGTAACCAGGATGGCGGCGATGGAAACGGATACCGATTGAGGCTTCGAGAGAATCTTTCAAGTAAGAGAGTCATTGGTGTGTGTTGTGTCATGTCTTTGCTTGCTAAAAGCGCGTTTAGACGACACAGTTGTATTCGCTGGCACCATAACTTCTCCAGTGGGCAACATGACCGACGGCTATTTTGTAAGATACAGAGACCTTTTTTTTTTCTTGTGTCATCAGCTGATTGGGTTCTCGCCGTATCATTCGACAGGCTGCTTGGAACGGCAAAACAATACAGTATATTGAGAACAATGTCGGTCCATCGCTCGACCAGCGCCCAAACATCATCCTGCTTCACGCTGGGACCAACGATATGAATCCTGACAGCTCCATTTCCACGGAAGGCAACGATCCCGTAGCTGCATCTCGGCGGCTCGGAAGTTTGATCGACAAGATGATCGACTCGTGCCCGGACGCAGTCATTCTCGTCGCCATGATCATAGGGACCTGCCGCGTCGACCAGGCTCCCCAGACAGAAATGTTTCAATCGCTGGTCCCCGGCGTAGTAATGCCGAGATTTCAAGCAGGGAAGCACGTGCTGCCGGTGGACTTTTCGACCTTTGCCCTGAGCAATTTGAGAGACTGCATCCATCCGACGAACCCAGGATATCAGCTGCTTGGACATTATTGGTATGACTTTGTCGCGCAGATTCCGCAGGACTGGATAACAGAGCCTGTTGGAGACGATCCCAAGAGGCAGGATAGTTTTGCTATGCATCTTGGCACAAATACGCCGTTGTTGATGCTGCTGGTTTCATTGTTTGTGTTGTTGCATATGTGAGGATGGCGTATAATATGATAGGTGTTGTGCCAATTTACCAACGATTCGCAACGTCGTTTCATCTCGTTCTTCAATAGTATGAATAGAGCAAAACATATAGATGGACTCGGTATCTGGGAGATGTATTCGCATAGGCTGAAGTCGTATAAGTGGAATCCTGTATGTATATTTCTTGGACGATAGGTGCTGCAGGTAGGTGCTGTGAAGGAGTCAGGATGTGAAACGGTTGGTTCCTATCAAAAACCCCTGGTATAAAATGATGAGAAGAGAGTTGCTTGCCCGGAATTATTCGATTGTCTCCAGCAAGTAGATTGTAGAAGTCGCAATAGCAACCTGTGGCGTGTTAGTCATCAGCAACTGCCCGACAGCCCCGCTATGACCTCTACTCGGGTCTCTAGCCTCCCCTAATTTGGAAAGCTTCAACTTCAAAATAATTTCAACGCCAAACAAAACAGTCGCCTATTCGGCCACCATAAAAGGCCCGAAGGAATTGATACTTGAAAAGGATTTCCACATCTTTCTTCATTTTTGAAGAAATCGACGGCAATCAGACCAATTGCAGCAACAAAACAAGAATCGCGAAACCAGCCAAACAACACAAGCAGCTGCACATACAGCTTGAATAGTTCCAAACAATGCCGAAAGAGAAAAACTACAATCCCGTCCAGGCGCAGCGCAAAGCCGACAAGGCTCGCGAAGTCAGAAAAGGTGAGTTTGAAGAACGAAAACAATGACATTGTTGAGGCCACTTTTGTTAACAGTCTTGTCCCTGTAGGAAAGGCCGAAGCGCAAGGCCGTCGAGATGAAAAGCTGGCGCGCAAGAACCCAGATCGAATCCAGAAACAAATCGACGACCTCAAGGCCGTGGTGTCCGGGGGAGGAAAGCTGACGCGTCATGAAGAGCAAGTCCTCGAGGGCTTGGAAAAAGAACTCAAAGCAGTACGCAAAGCCAGAGATACGCTGGGTGACAAGGCACCCGAGTTTGGCCGCTGGAGAAGAGATGGCGATGGCTCGAGACCAGGAGCGCTTGGTAAAAGGAGGCGCGGAGACGATGGTTCCAGCAGCGATGAAGACATCCCCGACGATGTCAAGAGTATTCCCATGCCGAGAGACACGCCGCCGCCTATACCAAAGGCCGAGATGGACAAGTGGTACGCGAAGCGAAGAGCAAAGAGGGAGGCCGAGAACGCAGCTCGACGACGCGATGATGACGCGCGCGACAATGAAGCTGGAGATGGTCAAGGTAGAGACTTCAAGGGCAAGGGCAGGGATAGAGAAGCACCGAAGCCGGCGGTGGAGTCCAAGACGGTATATGAAGCCAAGCCGGTTGTGAGAGATCTGCGCCAGGAAGCCGTGTCTGCCTTTGTTCCCACCTCGGTGCAGATGAAGATGAACAAAGGCAAAGGCCAAGGCGGACTATTGGAGCCAGAGGAGGCGGATCGGTTGGAGAAGGAGGGATACCTGAAGCTGGCTCCGGGCAACGAACAGGATGAAGCCGAAGAAGATGACCAAGCCGATGCAGAGCGCGTGGCGCCGTCTTCTCGGAATGTCATGATGGAGGAGGTGGAAGATGAAGAAGCGTGAGGAGGGGCCTTATTTCACAGCCCTTTCTGGTTCTTTGCATGGTTTTGGCGTATCTGGACAAGGTTCACGGCATATCAAACGGAGTTTCTTGAGATGATTAGTGCAGTTCGATAGTTGTGAGCTCACGAGTTGAGCATCATGAGGGAATGAGCAACAGAGCATGTGCAGCTTTAGCCCAAACTTGGAATGAGCTGCAATGGCCGAGAGCCATCATAAGCAACGCCCGCAGTATCTGTCATTGGCCCCGTAGGCCTGTCGCTGACCAAGCTCCTCAGCCATAGCACAAACACAGCATCGTGCATCGTGATGAGATGCTTCTGTAAATCGTAAAGCCAGATTCGGCACATGAGTAGATGAGGCGGCCAGGTGATTGGGCAGTATCCCGATCTCAATCAAGCCCGCCATCATGACCCCTGAAGACAGGAAAACAGGTCACCACTAACAAAAGTGTTTTCATGTAATATCTCTTGGTCATAGCATTGACCAAGCCAAGCTTTTCCAATATAATTTTTTTCTTTTCTTCTTTTTCGTCTCCGCAATGGAGACTTCCGATAGGTGGAGCAGCCCGGAGTCCTCCGTCACCCGTCGAAAATCCTCCCCAGCAAGCCACTAACCAGCTCTCTCGGCTAGGCGGGCGGATCTCCTCAGCTCGAAATTAGTCAAATCTTTATTTCGAAACGGGGAACTTGGAGAGAAAAAAAATGCTTATTTGGAACATCGTGGACTGTGCGAGTCGTGATGGCAGGTTTGCAAAGAGGATGAGACTTTGATTTTGAAATCGCAAACAGTCCCAAGCGTTTGTCAGTTTGCTGTTGGGACGAAAGCTGCGAATGCCCTATTCCATCCCAAAGAGGCTGAAGTCCAACAGCGAATCCCATCTTACCAATGGATATCATGAATGACTTTCAATCTGTAAAGCACTGTAAGCCCATTGAAGCCACACATGGTAACGAGACCGGCAAGTGGAAAAAACCGACCATCTCCTGCCAGGGCAAACGGCAAACTAGGGCCCTTTGCTGCGTGAGCCGTTGTGGAACTCGGTGGCCAGCAAATGGCAGGTTTCCATTACCTACACAGTCCACTGGCTCGGCTCCATTTGCCATGAATCTCCGGGGCGCGACGTTTCCACTCCGACGATGGTTGCCGCCCCACGCCGAGTACGGGGTATTGAAAATGCACTGAGGAAAAAAAAGCAGTCATTATATAGCCTAGGGCGCTGTTTGACATGTTGCGTGACTGGCATCAAATATGACCCTTTCCCCATCTCCTTTTCGATTTCCTCCTTTTCCCTTTCTTCCTCCTTTTCCCTTTTCAAGTCAAAACAACATAGCCTTTTTCAGTTGTGCATTGTTCAAGTCCAATCTGGCCGTTGATTGGCAATTGCCAGTAGCTTCGCCTCTTGGCCGGTACTTACGCTTTGAAGAGCCAGACGAAACCAGGAAACATGGATGTCCAGCAGGTCAACTCAAGAGCAATCCATGACGAGATCGATCTCGAGTCTGATCACTCTGAAACTTCGAGCGATGAAAACGACACAAGAGACGGTGGAGAAAGGAGGAACTCGGAACTGCAGGATGAAAAGCACCAGCCTCAGCCGCAAATCAACAATGACTTGGAGCGGCAACAAACAGCAAGATCCGCGGCATCCAATCAAGAAACATATCCCGAGGGCGGACTCCAAGCATGGCTCGTGGTAGCAGGATCCTGGTTCGCCATGATTGCCTCCATGGGATTGATGAACAGTATTGCCGTCTTCCAGGCCTATACACTTAGCCACCAACTCAAGGGCACGAGCGAGAGCACCGTCGGTTGGATTTTCTCCATATACACTTGGCTGGCCTTTTTTGGGGGCGTTTATATCGGCCCCGTCTTCGACAAATACGGGCCAAAGTGGCTGATTGTTGCTGGATGCGTCTGTACCGTCGGCGCCCTGGTTGGCATGAGCTTTTGCACCGGTGAGTAGTTGGATGGTGGTTATTCTTGGTTACACTTTGATCCTAACGCAGCATCCCGTTCCATCCCGCCCTGACGTATACACCATCACTTATCCTTATCGTCTGTGAGTGTGTGTGTAACCCATGCTAATTCTTGGCCCCCAGAGTTGTACCAGTTTATTCTGTCGTTTGGCGTCCTCGGCGGCCTGGGCACGTCGCTCACCTTCACTCCGTGCATCGCAGCAGTTGGCCATTGGTTCAAAGCGAGGCGTGGCTTCGCCACTGGGCTTGCATCGACGGCAGGTGGTATCGGAGGCATCATCTTTCCCCTCATGCTCACTGCTTTGTTCGAGCGCATCAGCTTTGGGTGGGCCACACGAGTCCTTGCTCTGATATGCCTGGTGTGCGGTCTTGTGGGCATAACTCTTGTCCGATCTCGTCTTCCACCGGCCAAGAACGCAACGGCTCATCCCGACTTTCGCATCTTCCGACAGATTCCGTTCCTGCTAACCACGATTGGTGTCTTCCTCGTGGAGTTCTCGCTCTTCATCCCTCTGACATACATCACAACGTATGCACAGTACAAGGGCTTTGATAGCACGTTTGCCTACCACCTCTTGCCCATCATGAATGCCGGCTCTGTGATAGGCCGAGCACTCCCGGGATATTATGCTGACGTCGTTGGGGCTTTCAACGTGTGTATCTTCTCCGTGGTCTTCTCCTTCATATCATGTCTGTGTGTGTGGCTGCCACTGGGGCACACCAAGCCGGGCATCATCATCTTTTCTTTCTTGTTTGGCTTTGGAAGTGGTAACAGCATTGCCATTGCACCCGTATGTATTGGGCGGATGTGCAAGACACAAGAATACGGTCGTTACTATGCCACAACATACACTGTTGTGTCGTTTGCATGCTTGATAGGCATTCCTATTGCTGGAAGCGTTGTGCAAGCGAATGACGGCTCTTATACAGGGCTCATCATCCTCACCAGCTGCATCTACATTGGTGCAGCAGCCATACTCGTACTGGCCAAGACATGGAAGCTTGGCTGGAAGAATTGGCTCGCTGCGTATTGAACAAGAAGAAGAAAAAGAAGTGAAAAAAGAAGAAGAAGAAGAAAGCAAATCGTCTTTTGCTGTGCCGTTATATGGTTGATATTCTCATTGCAAGCGCATATATCAGGCACAATCTCGTTTCCCATCACCCTCCTTTCCAAAACCTGCTTTATTCAGCAACAGTTGTCATGGCTCAGTATACTGATAGATATCCAAATGGTTCAGCGCTTGTTTTCATGTTAATGAGAGAAATGACGGAGAGAAAAGGAGCGTTTTGACACAATAAGCTACCGCTTCACGTTCTTCGCGTATTGGTTTTGTAAAGAAAAGTAATCAATGTCATCTAGGTCGCATATAGAAATAGGGAGAAGCAGCCAGTCCATATGTCGAATACACAGCTGCCGAATGCTTTTTAAAATAGCAGCAGTAGCAGCAGTAGCAGTGGCAGCCTATGCTACAGCTGGAGTACTGAGCAACATAATTGGGGTGCTGGATAGCTTCTCTGTAGAAATAGTATAAGAAATTCGAAACGAAATGGAAACAGAACAGAATAAAAAAAATAAAAAAAAAATAAAAAAATAAAATACTCAAGATTTGATTGTTGCTGTTGCATTGTTCTCCAATTTTTCGGTGGTATCATGGTGCCTATGACTCCTTTCTGGGCTCTTGTTATATCTAATTGCCGAGTAGATTCTTCTCCTTCTCCCTCTCAAACGATGGCTGTTGTCGGTTCTATTTCTTTTCGCTGTTTGACTTGACAATATGCGCGTCGTGAAGTTGTGCCACAGCCGGGATAATCAGAGCCTCAATCTCTTCTTCCGGGTCTCCTTCTGGCGCCTCATCAGGCCGCAGTGGCCTTCCCTCGGCATCGCCCCAGCCGCCGTGCCGAGGTACGCGAAGCCATTGATCTTGTCGGCCTGGAGCAACAAAGACGACTTCCCATTTGCGCGTTGAGAGGAGATTTCCGACAACGAGATGATGCTGGTACCGCTCAAGGCTGTAGCGCGCCTTGTGAACAAGAATACGGGGATCCGTCTCGAGCTTGAAGCTGACAATCATGCCCAAGGGGGCCCAGCCTTCAACAAGGCTTTTGAGGAACTTGGGCACGGGATCCAAGTCAATAATGAGACGCTTGGATCGCGGCACACGAGGGGAGGCATCAAAATTGTCAAAAGTTTCCTCATCTTCTATCGGTGGTGAAGGTGTTTTTGAACCCTTTTCCCCGGGGTAGAGCTTTTCAACAATGTTGGTAGACTGTATCTTGTGCTCGGAAAGACGCTCTGGCGGAACAAAGAAGTCAGATACCGCTGCAGCGAGGTAGAGCAGTCCGGATGAGCCGAGCGGCGCCATAAGCCGGGCCACAGCACGGAGTTCATGCAGGTAATCGCCAATGGTGACAAAGGGCAGCAGGAGAAGAGTGTTGTCGCGGCGAGCACTCTGATACTTGCGTAGGACGTCAAGAATCCTATCAGAGTCTTCGGGCCGGACGGCAACGCGACCCTCGGCATCCTCACTGAGGAGATCAAGGAGACAGTCGGTTGAATGAGAGTAGTGGCGTGAATAGGGGAGCAGACTGAACTGGCGATGGAGGAAGATGACGGCGTATCCAGCAGAGAGGAAATACTCGGCACTGGTAGCACCACGAGTTCCGGCAGAGAAGTTCTAGGTTTTGTCTAGTTAGCAGAGGCACACAATTGATTAAGGAGTTTGCTGGATTTCTGCTTTGATCATAGAAGGAAAGAGGTTGAAAGAGAAAGCAACATACGTCAATGAACCTCACAGTATTCTTCTCCAGCGGAACCGTCGTTCCTCCCGAAGTGACGAGCACAACCCGTCGATTCGCCGCAACATGCTGCGTTATAAAGGCCTCGGCCAGTGCCGTGTGAGCAGCCAATTGCTTTGGGGGAGGATTGGTGGAGAAGTACACATCCTCGGCCTGGAGGGATTCTGCCGCGGACATGATTTGGCTTGCGATGGGCGTTGGCGGTGATGTGAAGAATGAGAGGAACTCGGATGAGGTTGGAGTTTGTGGTTGGAGGTTGAATGAATCAGTTTGGGCAGGTGGGATGGGACAGCGGGTGGCGGGGTTTATCTGATAAGGGGAAGGCAGGCCTGTAAAAGCTCGGCTGTAGGTGCTGTAGGTGCTGTAGGTGCTGTAGGTGCTGTAGGTGCTGGAGGTGCTGGCAGGTGCTCTGTAAAGATAGCGGCAGTAGCAGCAGTAGTAGCAGTGGCAGTAACAGCGGTAGCAGCAGCAATACCGGTAGCAGCCCACGCTATATATACCTAGCTGGAGTGCTGGACAACAGAATTGGGCGCTGGCTCGCAGTACACCGGGCGGCAGTCGCGCTGCACTGATGAGTCTATGCTGTCAATAGTTTTAAGCGAATAGAGATGAAAAGAAGAAGGAATCAAGATGGAAATGGAAACCAGCAAACTCGTCAGCTGCTTCTTTTTAACCAATGTTTCGAAGCTGTGCTCACAACTACGAAGCAGCTCCCATCCCGGCCGAGACGTTGTTACAATTGACGGGCCAATCGCATTACACGCAGGAGGACCGAAGACGCCAGACAAGATTTCGGGGCAATGGAAGAAAGAGTCTGGGCTGTCTGTCATACGTAACATGTTATGAAAACCGGTCATTGTAACACCTGCTCACAACCGGTTGAATGTTTGAATTTTACACTATATACTTTGGAGTTGCCAACTCCAAAGTTCCAATACCTGTCAGTTTATTCCTTTATGAATATTTACACAATCCAAGACGAGTTGCCAAGTCCCCGAAACCTCCGAGCTCGCCATCGTATAAGCCCACTCCTAGATATGACTTGTTTTATTTCGCTATGATTTGCACTTGATGCATCAACTAGAAATACAAAAATGGGGGAGAAACAACTATAGTAGACACGGTCAAGTGCTAATCTATATACATCCAATAGTCATCAAAAAATGTATTAACCATTTGTCCACATCTCATCGCATTCCCTTGTCTTATTCCCTCCTCCTCCTCCTCCTCGTTTCTCTATTCATTTGCTATTTCTACTACTTTCGGCTAATCTCCACGCTCTTAGCGGCAGGCTCTGCAAGTGCAGCACCTTTGGCTTAATGTACCATACAAAGGTGGCGATGCCAAACAGGACGCAGAGGATGTTGACGGTGTAGTATCCGTCGCGAACCATTTCGCAGGTTCCGCCGCCGTTGACGCACCGCTCTTTTTCGCTCTGGATGGCGCATGAGAATGCTTCTGTAACTAGTGGGCCTTTGAGGTTCTGTGACGTCTTTGAGCCAGGATGGCAAGTAGCAACGGTGAAGGAATCTACGAGTTTCAGGACAAAGTATCTGGGGAACGTGCCACCAAGGTTGGAAACGCTGCAAAAGCAAGATTTCGTTAGTAAGCTTAAAGCAAAGGGAAAAGGTCCAAAACTCACGTTGCAAGGAGTGTCATATAAGTGCCTCCAATAACCGGATCCGAAACCTTTGCATGAAACGCCGACACGGCCACAAACATGATGGTGTTTGTAAACGTCGAAAACACGTGCTCGCCAATCACGACGAGGAGATACCACGTCGTCACGCCCTCGGCAGGGAAAATGGCCACCGTCATCTGCGCAATCAGCGCGGCCAGCAACCGACCGGCGAAACCCCAGCACCACAGGCGCATGGGGGAGTACTTTTGAGACCACATGCCGGCGTAGTATCCAACACCAATCTCAAAGGGGAAATCGATGAGGACGGTCAGGGCCATGTTCTCCTTGCCGAAGCCCAGGTCGAGCAGTTTGAGGTTGGTGACGCCGTCATTGGCCTGGAAGCCAATCTTGGCAATCAGGTGAACAATGATGATGGTCTGGACGTTGCGCAGCTTGAGAATGCCCCACATGATGCGGTAGACGTCCCAGACGCCGTCCTCGTTTTGCGACTTCTCCTCGCGCTTCAGCAGGCCCAGGCCAATGGTGACGATGATATAGCTCCATCCCCAAAAGGTCAGGTAGCCGCCGAGAGAGACGAGTCCGTCGTCGGAGGGGGTCGAGCGGAAGTACTTGTTGGCAAAGTCGGAGGCGTTGAGGGCGAGGAAGACGGTATAAGACATGAAGTGACCGGCCGTGAGGCCCACTGTCTGCGCCGTCGAGGCGTACGACACGTTTCCGGGTGTCAGCAGCGTGAGTGCCCAGCCGTCGACGGCAATGTCCTGCGTGGCGCACATGAGCACCAGGAAGAACCACCAGAGCATAAAGGTCCAGACGGTGGAACCACCAGGCTTGCCAATCTTCTCCATCATGTCCTCCACGTTGGCTCCCAGCCAGAGCATGCCGAAGCCGGACAGGAACTGGATGGGCACGATCCACGTCTTCCGGCGACCAATCTTGGAGCTCCAGACGGCATCGACAAAGGGACTCCAGAACAGCTTGAGGGAGTACGGGTACGACGCCAGACTAAAGGTGCCTATTTCGCCATATGACATGTGGTTCTTGAGCAGGAAAGGCACGGAGCCCATGGCAAGCCCCATGGGAATGCCCTGCAGGAAGTAGAGCAAGACGAGCAGCAAAAAGCTCCGCTGGTCCTGCACGGGCAGTTCGAAGAAGCCGACATCGTTGGCCGTGGGCGTCTTGGGGACGGGGTCGTCCAGGCTAAAGGCCTCGCGCGAAATGTGGTTGGCCGTGATGCTGTCAGAGTCCTGGTGAGTGGCGGTCTTGCGCCGCATCTCAACGCCGTTGCTCATCTTGCCGTTGCCGTCGCCGTGACCGTTCGCTTCCCGCTGGAGAGGGAGCGAGGGGGGCCGCTTTGATGTCGAGGGCGACTGAGTCCGTCTTTGGCGGGCACCCATATAGGAGGCGGTCGAGGTCGCTCGTATCGGGTCGGTGGCACACAGGGGCTGGTCAAGGGAGAGTCTTGATTGTGTAATCTGCGCGTCTCGGGTCGTCGGCGCCGTTGAGGAGCACGATAGCGAGCGTTGATAAAGCTGTGTCGCTGAGGCTTGCTGATTCTGTGTTTTGGAATTCAAAGCAGCTTTGTTTGGAGTCGCGTGTAGGTGATGGAAGCAGTCGAGGCTCCAGTAACCAAAAGAATGGCTGTCGAAACGAACAAGAAAAAGTTGCGATACTGGAAGCGCGTTGACCGACTAGTAGTAGAAAGCGAGGCAGAAGAAAAAAACGAGGCCCTGTGCAGCGAAAGAAGGAGAGTACAAGCGGACCAGCCAAAAAACCACACACAATCGGCAATCTGCTAACGAAGCATTAGAAATACCGTGCTTGTGGCAAGCGATGGGCGGAACAATTCGAAAAAGTGACTTTGGAAAGCCAGTGAATGGAATCAAGTTGAATGTTGGCGCCTGTGAATTTGCAGCTTACCGTGGCCTCAAGGGTCCAGTCGCTATTTTTTTTCTGAACCGGCGCGGCTTACACACAAAAAGCCGTTGCCACCGTCCAAATCTGAGGTTCTAGCGGCGCACCCTCCAGAAATAGCTGCAGTTCCTTTTTAGCGCACTTCCGTCAGTGGCTGGCCGCATGCTTGTACATTCAGTAGACACTGATGTCGCATTTAGGCGGCCAGTCAAGACCCCGTAACATTTCGTATTGGACCGCTGAGATCCAGCGCCGTGGGGAAAAAGGGAAAAAGGTGCAGCGGGCGGAGCGAATGAGACGCTCCGGTGCCTGCTTTGGGGTTTCTGCCAGGGACCTTTTTCAGCGCCAATTTGCGGGGAGGGGCCGCCGCTGATTTGCTGCTATATAATGCGGCCTAGGCGCAAGCTTCGGCACATCGCCCACCTTATCTTATCGGGGCGAGGCTGTCATCGTCACTGTGCCGAAGCTTCGTCTGCATTCAAAACAACAAAGGCGCCATCTTCGGCGCGCGCGCGACCACAACCACTTAATCCATCTTCCACACAGAAAAGAAGAAGAAAATGGAGGTCGCAGAGGGTGAAGCAAAAGTCAGCCCTCTCGACAAAGAAATTACATCTCTCAAAAAACAAGGTAAGCAGCGCGATCAAGTAGCAAACAAAATAAACACACAAAAAAAAAAAAAAAGCTAACCAGCTTCAACCAAAAAAACAGCCGCAAACCTCCGCAAAACGCTCAAAATCGAATGCTCCACCATCCTCTCCAACCCTTCCATCCGCGACGCCCTCCTCTCCTCCCTCAGCCCCGGCAAGCAAACCCCCAAATCTGCCGCGCTGCGACCGCGAAGGCCCAAAAGGACATTCTCTTGGTCCTCCAGCATCGACCGCGACCGCGACCGCGACGAGCAGCGCCTCCTCGCCCGCTCCAAGCAGCAAGAGGCCTACGACCAGCAATGCCTCTACCGCATCGCCGCCTCCGTCACGGCCTTTAAAGTGCGCGACCCGGATCCGCACGCCGTGGACGGGGGCCACGTGCTGGGCCTGCGCTTCGAGGCCATGACCCGCGGCCAGTTCCTGCAGCCGTACTATGTGATGCTGAACCGGCCGTATGCGGAACACGGCCAGTTTCTGCGCGTGCACCGCCATACTGTGCCGCCGGCAATTCCTCTGTCGGGGCTGGCGGCGCGGTATCTGCCCGGGCCGAAGAAGCAGCAGCAGGAAGAAGCACAGGAGCAGCAAGCAGAACGAGGACCATCACCCCCTCCGCATCATCTCAAGCAGGACCTCGAACGATTTGTCAAATCACTCAGGCGAGAAATCATGCGCTACCACAACAGACTCGGCGTATCAGCAGACCTGCGGCGTAGCCTGGGCGCACACAGCAACAGCAGCAGCAACAGCAACAAGACGGCAACGCAAAATAACGCCATCATCGACGTCAGCATCGCCGACACGGAAGCGAAGCAGATCCGCCTGACGTGGGCCGACGAGCGCAACGGCCGCCTGGTCATGGACGACGACGGCAAAGTGGTCAAGTTTGTGGTTTTTGGCGCCGCCGACGGCAGGGACTGGGAGACGACGAGGCAGCTCGGGGACAGCCAGGGGCGGGTCGAGGAGGTTGCCAAGATGCTGGAAGAGTATGCGTCGGGGACATTGTGATTGGATATGTGTAAATCCAAGACCAATTCATCATGTACATCAAATTAGGAGCAGGGGTGTTTTTTGGAAAGGACGGAGTTCAACGTTTAGCATGGCGCTCAGGTTCAGAGGATACAGCATATATATTATACCTCGTTGTTCTAGTATTATGAATATAGTTGGAAACAATCAATCGTCAAGATTTGAAAACACTACTACTCAAAGACTGTCAAAGCTCATCGTGTATCAATCAAAGTAGTAGTATACGGACAAGAATCAATTCAATCACTATCCTCGACCATTGAAGCCCGTCCAAACACTTATACCTCCTGCTCGCTCTCTAACCCACAACTCCTTACTTTCTCAACTCCACCGCCATAACCATCTGATGAGAATCGAATATTAAGTATATATGCTCGATAATGGAAAACCAGAAAACGAAAAGGAAAAAAAAAGTCAGGCGGTGGGCTTATTTTCCCTTCCACCAGGCGTGCCATAAACTCATCATATATTGCAGTCCCTGGACCGTTAACAGAATACAACTGCGACTTACGGCCGCCCCCTCGTCGTACTAATACTTGAAGCTTTACAAGAAAAAGGCAGCAATGACACCGCCGAACAGGGCCAAGCTGACACCCTCAGTGCGGCCGACAGCACCGCTGACTGGGGGAACGGTGGTGTTGCCGGTAGGAGCTGGGGGAGGAGCACCAGGAGCAGTTCCAGCGGGAGGAACGCAGTAGGCCTCAGTGCAGCCACCGGCAGGGCTGGAGGGAGAAGAACCAGCGGGAGCAGAGTAGACGGGAGCAGGAGCAGACTGAGCGGGAGCAGACTGGACGGGAGGAGTGTAGACCGAGGTGGAGGGAGCAGTGTAGACGGGAGCAGAGCTGTTGCCAGGCACGGGGTAAGCCGGGACGGAGGAGGCAGCAGGAGGAGAGTAGGGGGCAGAAGCCGGAGCAGAGGCCGGAGCAGAAGCCGGTGCAGAAGCCGGTGCAGTGGTACCAGCGGCGGGAGACGACTCAGCGGGAGCCGAGTTGGCGGGGGCCGAGGAGCCGGCAGGGCCAGTGGGGACGCCGCCAGCAGGGCCGGAGGAGGCCGGGGCCGTGTAAGCCGGGGCGGTTTGGGTGCTCAGCGTGACGACGGCGGTGTTGGTCGGCACGGATCCGGAGTAGGCCGGGGAGGAGGCAGCCGGAGGAGGGTAGGCACCGCCAGAGGGGGTCGCAGAGGCGCCAGCAGTCTTTGTCTTGGACGCCTCGACCGGGCAGATGGTAGTGGTCTCGGGGATGACGACGGTGGTGACGGTGGTGTGGTGGCCGTTGGCAGGGCAGTTGGTGATGGTGGGAGCACAGCTGATGACGGTGTGCATCGACGTGACGCTGACGGTGCTCGTGGTCCAGACCTGCGACGGCTGGTCGGTCTTGCAGCCGTCGCCGCAGGGCTGGACATAGTGCCAGCTACCGGCGCTCTCGTCCTGGCAAGAGTCAATCTGAACCCCGACGTGGGGCGGGTGCCAGACGTTGACGCGGCCGGCGGGAGGGCCAGCAGCGGGCTTGTCGGCATTGGCTTCGGGTAGAGCCAGGCCCACGGGCAGGTGGAGGTCGAGGCCAACGCCGAGGTTGATGAGGTCGCCAACCTGGACGTCGATGCCCAGGTCGAGCAGGCTGTGGCCCGCAACGGCGGTGGCAGCCGAGGCAGCGAGAATGAAGGACTTCATTGTGAAGAGTGATTGTAGAAAATGAACTTGACTTGGAGTGAGTGGACGGGTCAAAAGAGCCCAAAAATGTCAAACTGAGAAAGAATGTATGGGTGAGAAACACTGTTGCAACCAGAGGCTTGCTGAGAAAAAGAAAGGGCAAAAGAAAGAGTCCGACATCTGGGAGATGAATCACTCGTCTTAAATATCCCACTCAAACCCAGCCCGGATCCATCAGGATAATCACGTCCGCCTCTCGCTTGTCTTGACAACCCCAAAGCCCCATCTTTCGTCCTCGACAGTCAATTCACCCCCATTATTGCAAACACGCGCGTGGAGTGAACTGGGCCATCAGGAGATTGGAAACAGAGACAGTGGCAGTAACACCGCAGGGACCGAGCAGCGTTGCATCCCCCTCCATGTGTCCTAGCGAGTGAAGATCAGATACACGGTAATAACAGCTGTAGCCGATCCTGACGCAGTACCCCGTATATGAGCGGAGCATGACATGGTGGCGGCGATAAGATCAGGGCTGTGCCTCGTTTGGGCAGAGCAATGTTGAAGCACCTGCGGTGTAGAAATCAATAGTGCTTCTTGTGCTTCTCCTTTTCTTGTTGTTGGCGGTATCACCAGCCTTGGTGTTGTTGGTATCATGAAAACAGCCACAGAGTTCCAAAGCAGGGAGGCAAAGACTTGGACCTAAGATACTTTGTAGTAACAAGTAGGCAAAGGCCGGCCACTGAAGCCCTTGCATGAACCATGCCCACGACAGACGTCTGCCCCCCCGTGGTCGTGCAGATCGGACGCTCTGTACCTGCGCTAGTGGAAGGAGAAAAAGAGGCTCGCTTGAGCAGCACTGCACATCACTCTCTAGCATGAGTGCTCCCTGCTCTTCTCTGCCCCCTTTTCTGGGTTTTGGTTTGAGAGATGCCAAAAACGACATCGTATTGTAAGCGGCTCTCGCTTTGTTTGATATTCTCTGAATACGGCGAGGGCGAGTACCTAGTTGAGGTAGTAGAGACAAGATATCGCCGTACTACTTGACGCATGTCTTCAATCTCTCAACCTGTAGTCGACGGAGCCCCTCTTCGCTGGGCTCTTATGAATTGTGGTTCCACGCGGGGTGGGCTAGGCCCGGGCTTTTGCACAGCTCCCGGCCGCCACCAGCAGCGACTTGGAAGCTTGGAAGTACAAACCTCGTTAAGCTTGTTGGTCAGGGCCATCTCACATCGTGGCGTGGTGTTGTCGTCTGTTGGTTTGTTGCACAGCAATTGAGACAAATAACACACCCTGTATACTCGTGGCGGTCTCAGATCTGAGCAGGTTGTGGCTTGTGGCTTATGGCTTTGAGTTGCCTTCTTTCGTCTTGTCTTTTCGTCTGCTTGGCTGTTACTGTACAGCATCATTTGACACGAAACGCTGTGGCAACTGTCAATCGATCAACTACCCAGTAGGCCCACACGCCCAAGAGGCCAGTTAATTTCCGCACCTGGATTAACCGTCCAAGCCGTCTCCCATGCGGAGCTGGTCTCTAATGCGAGGCGGCCATGACTTGTTTGACCAGGCTAAAAATGGCAACAGAGGATACTTTGTCCCGGTCCGGGGAAAAAGAATCAACTGCGTTTAAACGTGAGGGCCAGAGCGTAAAGAGAAGGAAGAGAAGCGAAAGAAGCATCGACATCCAAGGGGGCTCCCGGACATCTCCACCCATTGTGGGCGAAAATTGGTCTGTGCCGGCTCAATTCATGCTAGTGTGTCCACAATGAGTTTCCCAAACAGGCCACTGTTGCATCGTTTTATTTCTGGCAGGCAAGATGAGCGGGAGAAGGTTGACAGAATCGAAAGGAGTTGAGTGTTGGGTCTAGTACACAAGGACGCAAATGGTCAAAGAGAATTCATGCTAAATGACTTGGTAGCTCGTATAATAAATTGATGTACTTGTTAGAAAATCTCGTGAGAATGGAATCCGGATGCAGAGTAGGTATATAGAAGCAATGCCGAGCAGCGATGATACTTGTATCATCTCAATCCTCGTTATAGAGTTACACAATAAGCCTCTCTGTTGGAGGAATTCTCCTTTCGATCCTCATGGAGATGACGAATCAAGGTCGGCTAGATTCTTCATTGTCTGCTCGTATATGCTCCTCGTACCTGTATGCGCATATGCCTGCGTGCCCATCTGAATAAAAGGTGAATCTCCACTCCGATGATCGGAATTTCGGTAACCCTTCTTCAGGCGTGGCATAAAATGGCATAATTTATTCCTATGACTTGCCTTTTGTTCCATCTCGTGAATGTAGGTACATACCATGACTGCTTCGTTTCGGTAAGGTTAGGACGTAGGTTATTGGCTATCGCCTCTTCAAAAATAGTATCTAGTCTTCCCCAGCAATGCCGGGTAGCCTCCAAGGGTGAGCAAGCAAAGAGCCACAAGCCGCATGCTGGAGCAAGCAAGCGAAAGGCCAAGGTAGGTCAAGCATTGAAGCCAAGGTATGCCAAGATAAGGCAAGACATACATGGCGTGGCAATGGCGTGGCCGGAGAAGAGCCAGGGGACTGGATTCTTTGCTCGGTAAAGGCGAAGAGCGCTTTGCGCGTGTCTCGTCGTATCCTTTACCTTGTCACCAATCCAGAGGCTGCCTCGATGCAGGCGGAGGGAGCGGGATAGCAGTACTAGTAGTTGTGCTAGCAGTGCTGGTGCCAGCAGTGGTTGTGTCGTCTGCTGCAGCCTCCATGCTCGCATCGCCATCAAGCACAGACCGGTCAATCTTCCACAGCCTGGCCTGCTCGTCGACGATGGCGGTCCACTTCCTTATCAAGGGGTGGGCTTTGGCCACATCAGGGAACAGCATCTCGTCGCCCTCGCCCTCGCCGTCGCCATGGGGCTCGACGTCGTAGCTCCAGTTTCCATCAGGGGCCCAGTAATCCGGGCTGAAAATCTTGAGCACGCTCAGCTCTTGTCTCGCCTCTGCCAGCAACTCGGACGTGGCCGTTGCGGATGCGGTGCCTTGTCCATCTTGGCTGCCGGCTTGGCCGCCCAGCCTGCTTTTCAGAGCGTCGTCGATGCCTTCCAGCATACCGAGCAACTGGCCTGCAGCCAGGCCAATCGTAGCGCCGAGACTGAAGCCCTCGTCGAAGCCAGCCTGGACCGTCTGTTCCTTTGCCGTCGAGATGCCTTCGCGGTACCCCGCAGTTGCGTGTTCTGTCTCCAGCCGCCGCATATCAGAAGGATGACGAGGGCTCTCAGGCCTGTCGAGAGAAGAGACGAGAGCAGCGGCATTGCCATGACCATCGCCAGACGCCGGGACTGCTTCGGATTCAGAGCCAAACACATCGTCGAGAGAAAAATACATGCCGCCAGAACGAGCTCCAGCTTCCGGCGCCGTCACATCGCCAGGACCGCCTCCGCCGCTGCCGCCTCCCTGCCCGAGATACTCGTCATCCATCGACTGTTCGACCGGGCGAAAGTGCATCCTTTTTTTGCTTTAGAGAAGCGCGATATACATCAGCCTACGGGAAACACACAGAGAAAGAGAAAGAGTACGATGGATGAGGACGGCAGGCAGGCAGGTCGAGGGCACTTTATGCTCTCCAAGAAACGGCACGTCGTACCTTGGTGATGGTAGTAGTAGTTACGGGATAGGTATTTCCTCTGCTCTTTTGCTTTTGATTTTGCCTTTGCCTTTGATTTTGCCTTGCTTTTGATTTCGCCTTTGATTTTGATTTTGCTCTCCTGCTCTCGCTCTTCTTTCTCACTGTTCCTCTTCCTCTCTCGCTCCTTCTACCGTTCACTCTCCCCAGAACGAGGCTTGAGCGAGCACGTGGGTTTCAGACCGTTCGGCAACAAGCAAGCAAGGGGTCTGACGCTGTGCTTGGATCGGTTCGATCTTGTCCGCAGGTTTTGGAAGCTTCTCGGCGGGCCGCGACGTCTCTGTTTTTTTTGCAGCTAGGAAGTATTCTTCCGCAACACTAGCAGCCGTTCGATTCAGCCGCCCATGCTCTGCCCCCCTGCCTCATTAGTCACTCGCTAGTCCAGTGCCAATGGCTTTTCGGCCCTGGACTACGACACAATAGGGCGGTAGTGGTGTCCCAATCCGACCGTACGGCTGGCGGCCCGCGGCACTGTGCCCGTTGCACGCGAGACCTGCGGCTTCTCCAGGCAGGCCGCGCAGACGCCCGTTGAAGCCTGCTGTGATCGCGTTGCACGTACAGTGCGAGCCGGCGGCAGAGTCCCGGAGGCTGCCCTGCAGACTCACCCTCCCTTGCTTGCACAAGGTTAGAGCTGCTCTCGAGGTGTCGGTGACACAAACTAGGGGAAAAAGAAAAAAAAAAAGGAAAAAAAAGCCGTTTCCTCGACACCGCCTCTCGTCCAAGAGTCAATGTTTGCCGCCCACAACCACACAATCATCCCCTTTCCTTCGACTCTGTCCCTTTTTGATGTTTTCTAATCTCGTCACGCATTCCCACTTCCTAAACAGCCCTTTAGCCTTTGAAGCATCATTGGGGGAAAAGAACCGCCCAAAAAAAGTTCCAGAAAATGATGCCACTTTGACGTAGCTTGGCCGGCCCTCAATATCGCACATTCGGGTGCCTTGCCTTGCATACACACGGCTGTAACCTGTATGTATGTATGCTGTATGTATGTATGCTGTATGTATGTATGTGCTGTCATATCAGATACTTCTTTTTTCTTTCTTTTTGGTTCCAAAGATAGGGATCCCGTTATCTCGGTTGATCCCCTTGTGGTAGCATCGTCCACTCCCAAGGCTGGCTGGCTGGCTCTCGGCATGCAATGCTGGTGACTGGAGTGAGGCTGTCTCTCGCTTTTTCTCTTTATTCCTCGTCTTTTGATTTTTTCCCCTCTCTTTTTCCCCCCCCCTTTACCCCAAATCCCGGGACATCTCTCTGAAGCCCATTCCGCGTCACGACACCATCTGAGAGGCGCTCTTCCGGAACAAAAATAGAGCAGAGCCTGAAGTCGAGTCTTGCCACGTATTCCCTCCCCTCCCGGATTCCACCGTTTCCATTAATCATCTGCACCGCCTTGCCTTTTGGCGGTCAACAAATGGGCTCCGCAACAGCAAAATCGCCCATGCATGAGCTGTTTATGGCGCATGGCGTCAACTCTCATGTCAAGGCGGTCAGAGGACGCTGTCAATGCAATGCTTGCTTGCCCTGTCCGTCCGCCTGCCTGCCTGCCTGCCTGCCTTGCCCCTGCTGCCTTGCCTTACCCGCCTTGCTTTGATTTTACTGTATTGCTGCTGCTTCTTCTTGCTCGGCCCCGGTTGCCTGCGTGCTGGTCCCTTGGGATCCAGTCAGCGTGTCCAATCGCGTTCTCGTCGTCCACCTCCATGATGACAGCAAGACGATACCAACACCACAAACACCACCTCCATCACCACCTCCATTCGCTTCCCGCCACAAGCCACGGTCTCGTCCAGTCTGCGTCAGTCGCTCTGCTTGAACGGTTAAAGCCCTTTCGTCATCTGGAAGGATCGCTGGCCCAAAGACAAGAGCAAAACGGACATGGATGGCTGCAGCGCCACGACAACGCAGCGCGCTCACTCACACCAACAACCCGTCGAGGCACACTCTGGGGCCAATAGATTCGTCCGGTTGCGGTGAGAATGAAGCAAAGCATGCAGTCCCTGATGAGTTGTCCACCCGTCTCATGTGGTCAGGCCAAACAACGCTTGCCGAGTTGTGCTCTCCATCCCCATGACAGCCCAGAAACGGTAGAACCCAACGGTGCAGTAGGTCCCAGAAGCACAAGAAGAATAAGCCTGAGCGGCTGAAGACGCGAATCGAGCCTATCACGGACTCCATCGTCCCGGCGGATCGGACCCCGGCCCCACCGCAGGCCATGAAGCGGAACGACGGCGGCGCTCCATGTGGCTTTTCTTACATGTACGAGCATGTCCCAAGGGCTCCGTAAGCTCCCTCGTGATCTCGCGTCTCTCCAAGGAGGACCACCGGGATGCCCAAATGTGGTATCAAGAAAACGTGCCAGCAGCTGAGTCGTTGTCCCCGGCCCCATTCCGATGTACAGGCAAGGCAAAAAAGGAGCCATCCAGGCATGAATGCTTTTACAGCTTGCATCTGCCATGCCCTGCCCTGCCCTTTCCTGCCCCGTCCTGCCCCGTCCTGCCATGCTGTGTTGCGCTGTTCCTGTGTCCGTGCCAAGATCTCTGGTCAAGCGTCGAACCAAAAGGCCGCATGCCCATCCAAGGGTGGGTTCCCGAGATTCGCCTTCATGTCATTGTCTTGCTTCTGCCCCCATTCCAGACGAACCACTTGCTAGACAGGAGTGCGTTGTTCAGCGTGTAAGCAGCGACCTGCTCCCCGTCCAGGCCCGCTCCTCTCGCCACCAGACTGATGGGCCGGCGATGTCTTCTCCAGCTACGGAGCACGACTAGTGTTAGCTTATCGGCGGCTCCCTTTCGCACCGCCCACCCTTGTCTCCGTCTCCATCTCCCTTGTCTGTGTTGTGTGTGGCCAGGTTTCAACTCACTGAATGCCTGTCGTCCCTCTTCAACTCGTTGAGCGGTAAAGGCAAGCCGTATCATCGAAAAATAGAAGGAGAGGGGGGAAAAGAAGAGAAGAGCGGCTGCAAAAAACTGCAGCCACTTGCCGCAGACAGAGCGTGGTAGTAATAGGCGCTCAATTCGGGGAATTTTCTCTACTTCTCCCGGCCTCGCGCCAATGCGTAAATCGTTAGTGTCGTTTTTTCCTTCTTTTGGGTGACAGCTAAAAGGCTAGTCCACAATGACAGCCAGGGGGGAGACAGAAAGGACACAGAAGATGGATGGGAGGGTCCGTCTTCTTCTCCGTATAGAATGCTACTCCGTCCCAGAGCAATGATGCAAACATTGCTGCCCACTGCGTACGAGTAATACTAGCTGGTAGCACTAGCATACTTGTATAGTGCGGTACGAGTAAGAGTACGGAGCAAGGCTAGGGCGAGCATTGTGCTGCACGAAGCTCAATGGAAGGTGGAAACCCGCATCGAACAAGTCCTGGAACGTCGTTCTGCGTGCTGAGGAGACGCCCCCCATTCCTCGGGGCCGCCCGTTCCTGAGCTAGAAAGGGCCACTTCGTCCAGCGTAGGATTCGAACTCTGCCCACGCCCCTCCCCACTCGCGCTGTCATGGCCATTGCCCGCTCGCTGGCACTGCGATGGTCCCAGGAAGTACTGTACTGTACAGTCGTGAATGAAACGTCGCCTCTTGTTGCTTCGCGCGCTCTCTCTCGATGGTGCTTGTATATACCTGCTCCGGCTAACACCCGAATAGGGGGAACGCGGACGGCAGGGGCTGAGGCTCTTCTCGGGACCCGGGCCGTGCACGTCATCAACTCGCCTCTTCCTGTCTCTCTCTCTCTCTCTCTATCTTGCCGCTCAACGGTTTCAAACAAGGCAGGGAACACTGAAGCTAGCCACGGGTTCCATGCGCGCTATGAGCGAGTGTGTTGTGTGTGTGTGTGTGTGCTTGCGAGTGCGTGCGAATGTGTGCGAGTAGATGCCCCCGTTCCGCACTCGCACAAGTGCCCATTGCCCCCATCTGTGTGGGTTGAAGGGCGTGTGCCCGTGTGATATGCGCGTGTGAACTGTCAGATTCCGTCCCAGAGAAGCTGCAGAGCGTCGTTCGGAAGCCAGTGTATCGCTTCTGGAATGCCGTGCCGAGCAGCAGTATGATGTGTTTGCAAGCCCTCGTCCAGTTTGCCATTTGGCCCTGCTCCACAGTCTTTATGGCCCTTTGCTGGCAGTCCCCCAGCACCAGCAGCCCAACGCACCTTCCAACCCAACGACTGGAGTGGCCTTCTAGAAAGACGATGGGCTGTCCTGCATGGCCATGGTCTCCAGCTCATCCCCTACCCTTGCACTTGCACAAGACCCCGTCCCCTTGGTCCCCACCGCCTTAGCCCACGACGACGACGCCCAAGTTGTTGCGCGTTGGGCCAAGCCTAAAAAACCATTAGGTTCGCCCTCAACACCAAGCAGACAGCAGACAGTCCCACGCCTTTCTCGCCGTACTTATATCCCGGGTACTTTGTAGTCGCATCGTCTTCGGCTCGGCAAGGCAAGGCACAGACTTTGCCCTTTTCCGATAAACCTTGCACCCTCTGCTTCAACCCTTCTCGAAAGGCTTCCGCCGTCTCGTTTCTCAGTTCTCGTTTCTCGTCCCGCGTACCGCCTGCTAGCGTCCCCGAGAAGCCTCGCAGTCTCACACCCATCCCGCCAGCCGCATCCTCGCCGATACTTGTGCAAGCAAGGCAAACACTAGGAGGGAAAACAAAAAGAAAAGAGACAGCCACCCCTGTCGATCTCACACCCAGGTAAAGAGAGAGAGAAAATTCCTGCAGGGGCCAACAGAGTGCTTTCAGGGGGTAGACTGACCGCCTTGGATAGACCGCAAAATCGCCCCAGCAGACACAGCAAGAATCAAGCCCAGACAGCTAAAAAGCCACGCGAGATCCCTGCAAACAGGCGGCGAGCTGTGCAAAAGGGCCCTCACCGGTTCGGTGTGGAAACTGTTTAAAATAACAGACCGTTCCCGCAACTCCGTCCACCTTTTCCTTCCTTCATCCAACAAAGAAACGGTGCTATCTAGCAGTCGTTCATAATCAGACCTCTCCTTCCGTTTTCCGAGCTTCCGGACGTCTCCTATTCAGTCTTTTTTTGTCTTCTTCATCTCGCTGCTACCAGCAACACCACCAGCAACAGCAACAACAAGAACACCAACACCAACAGCAGCAACAACAACAACAGCAGCAACAACAACAACGTCTTCTTCTTTCTCTTCTTCTTCTTCTTCTTCTCACAAATCAAAATGCGTGGACCATACGACACCACTGGCATCATCAAGCCCAACTCTCCTCAGCCACCAAAGCCCAAATAATGACTTCTGTTCTCGGGCCGGGCACCTTCTTTTTTTCTGATTGCTTTTCCCTATGTTTCGCTTCATGACACGCTGTACCAGTCAGGTAACAATCCCTCTCCCTGTACGCAAAGTTGATCATGAATGTTTGCTGACGGTCCCTCCTTCTAGGTGTCTGTCTTTAATCGTAATACGTCGACCGGGCCAAGCTTTCGATACTCATCAAGCTTGAAGAACTCGGCGCTTCTTGGCAACTGCGGCAATCTCTTTTCGACTGTTGATATATAATATTGGGTTTTTTTCGGATAATGGATTTGGGTATTTTGAGGACAAGAGAGGGAAAATAGACTGGGAAAAAAAGGGTCGGGAGCTATCCGTTATTCACCCTGCGGACGAAAAGGCAACGCCGCGATATTAGAGATACACTCATCCACATGAGCCCCCCATGAACTGGGTCATAATTCTTTTTGTTTAATAACGGGCGCCACCATCGCCACATGCAATGTTAATGTCTATCTGTTGAAAACATTCTCGTGTCAGGAACCTTGTGTGATGTGATATGATGAATAGCAACAGAGAAGAAGAAGAAGACGAAGAAGAAGAAGAAGAAGGGGAGCGATGACACTGAGTCTTACCTGTTTGAGTAGACCCAAAGGGCTAGACCTCTGTGGCTTGTCTTGAGCACGTCCCTTGCTCAATTGGCGTTGGTGATGTTGGTCTGGCCATGGCTGGTCTCGGACAGTGTTGAGGCCGCTCCTGTTGGCTCGCCCTCATTGGTCAAAACACACAAAGGCATCGTGTACAATGTACATGTACAGAGTGCACAGCACAGAGTATAGAAGAATACACGCGGGGAGAGAACAAGTGAAGACACAGACACACAAACACACACACACACAGAGAGAGAGAGAGAGAGCTAGAGAGCCAAACTGTGCTGAGTGGAATCGGGGACGTCGTCAGCGGCCGTGAGTGGGGAAACATGGCTTCCGGCGAAGTGGGACTTGATGCTGCCGGGTCGGCATCGGAGCCTCCTCCAGTAGGGCGCCGGGGCGTGGCCTGTTGGGCCCTTGGAACGTGGTGATTGCTGCCCATCGGTCCATGAGATGGGCTTGGATGCTTGGATGGGGGGCGCATGGGCCTGCGGCATGGTGTTACATGGGCAGAGGCTGGAGAAACGGGGGGGCTGCAAGCGCAGGTCATCCATCCGTCCCTTTGCACCCATCACTGCTGGATCTGGCTGGATCTGGCTGCACTTGGCTGGCCGGATTTGCCCATCTCGGTGGCCCGGGCCTACTGCAACAGTGGCATGGGCAATGTGGATGTTGTGGATGTTGTGGACTGGTCTGCACCAATGCTGTAAGTGCGGAATGCGGGACGGCGCACGTCTAGATCTTGGACACGCGCACTAGAAGCCGGGACGAAGCTTTGGATGTGGCCTGGCGTGCATCCATCTCTGTACGCCCATGGCCGTGTGCCCATCCGCGTGCGTCTTGTGTCTACTCCCCTGCTGCATGGCTGTCAGTTGCGTGTGTACAGTATATATATGTATGTATGTCTTGCAACATGAGGCAAGGTAGGTGAGTGGTGAAGACAAACATAGGATGCTTACCTGGCCTATCCTATCCTGGCGTTGCTGCACCGTCTGGAGCCGTACCGTTGAAAACTGAGAGGAACAGGGGCGAGCAGAGAAGAGAAGCGGATGAGGATGAGGATGAGAAAAGAGACGGGCCAGACGAGTTTGGCAGGCGGGCTCTGTCTGGGCTCAGCTCCAGCGGATGATGCGTCCTTTTATACCGTAAACGACCTCCTCCCCCTCCCCGTTTCTTTGTTTCTCTTCTTGGGCTGCAATTGTGATGGCTCGCAAAATTGCGGCATGATTCTGGGCCACATTCTGGGCCACATTCTGGGCCACTGCTGAGGTGACTTTTCCCGTTCCGTGATGTTCATCCCGGGCACCAAAACGCTCTTGTTGGCTGTGAGCAGATGGCATCTGATGGTGGGGTTTTCGGGCCATCCCTCCAATCCAGATCGGTAGTATCCATTGGAAATCCATTTGGGAATCCGTTTGGGAATCCCGTCATGCGAAGAGGTGGTGGGGGCGGGGTTGTGATTTGGCATGCAGAAAAGAGGATAGAGGGCCAAGAGGAAGAGGAAAAGAACTGGAAAAGAAGGAAAAGAAGAAGCCCATCTTCATGCAGTGCATCCCAGGCCTGTCCGCATCTTCCTTCCCTCGCTTATAAGCCCCTCATCTTGCCCTCGCCTACCTACCTGTTTCGAGTCTCTGGAGGAAAGACCAAATAGAGAACGGAAGGCGATGCAAAGCAAATCAAAGACAAAAATCCTTCATGTCGTCATTCCCTTCTCAACTCCTTCCTCTTGTTCTTCTTGGCTCGCAAAAATATTTGCCGTCGTGTCCGGTGTTTTGCGTGTTCTAGACCTTCCCAAGTACGAGGTGCTACGAGCTGCGATACAACCTTGGCTGGAGGGGCTGGCTGGCAATAATGGGGAATTTTTTTAATTTTTTTTTTTTGATTTTTGCTCCCTTCTCAGCGACGATCGAATGCACTCCAACGCTCGTGATCCCTGCTGCCATTCTCTGCAGACAATCCCCGGTACCTGCATTGCGGTCCAAAATGCCTCCCACGTCACTTTGCGCGTGGCCACGCCTCCTCGGCCAGCAATCATCAGCTGATTTGCCCGTCACCTTGGCTGGTGGCTTTGCTGCAGAAAAAAAATGTGATGGGATCAAGAGGCATGGCGTGTGTGTACACAAATGCGTGCTACTGCCACGGCGCATTAGCATTGGGTGCCGCCGTTTTTGCGATCAAATGCCTTGATGATTGATCTTTGCTACATGTACTGCTGGACTCTGCTGGACTCTACCGGATTGGACTGGATACATGTACATGTATGGACGCCACCAACAACTTGGCCGAGATACGGCAAGCACATCTTTGCAGCAGCTGAGGCACATCCAGACACATCCAGACTCAAGTTCATGCTGCTTTCTGCATCTCCCCGCCGGCCTCTCCTCGCATCCTTGCTTTTGGTGCTCTTTTCAAAACCAGCCCGACGGCCGTCGCAAACCCCCTGCCTGGCCTTAAACGCAGCCTGTTCCGAATAGGGGTGGTGAACATGCCGCTTCTGCAATAACGCTGCCTGCCAGATGGCCGAGCTCCGCTGTGCCAGCGAATAGAATCCGCACACAATTCGGCGGCTTGCCGCTGTTTGTCACACCAATGATCTGCCGCGGTGACTCGGAAATCCTGCCCTTGAACGGAGAAACAGAAACGTCTTGATTGGGATACACAACAGCGTGTGCCTGATGGGTTTTATTTTCGGCCAAAGCGGTTGACAAACAAACAGACGAGTGGGCGCTCTCAATCTTGCTCGTCAATCTTGCTCGTCAACACCAGAAAACAAATCCATCTTGGGAGCTGATGGCCACGAAAAGGAACTGCTCAATATCCATCCCATCTCCAATTTCCCATCTACAATCGAGATCACAGCGGACAAGTACAAGTTTTGTTGGGCCTACTATCAACAAGCTTCATTACCTCCATGTTTAATGACTCGCTGAGGCTGTAACACAACAACGCTGCGAGGCAATACAGACATCTATACACACGGACAAACAGACAGACAGGCAAACAGGCAAACAAATATCTTTTTTTTTTTTGGCCTTTTCTCTTTGACCTTTTAAGTTCCCCTCTCTTTCCATTCTCTTTCCAGCTGCCGATGCAGTGCCCCCATCTACAACACAAGATGCCGAACAGCTGAAATACTACAAGCAGGTCTGCCATATTCCTTGAGGCAGCACACGCACAACCCCCCCTCTCAGGAACCTCCAGCCATTTATCGGATCAAGATGCCCAGCATGGCAAGAATGCAACGCACGGTACCCTCCTCAGCCCCAGTGTCGCCGATGAACCCAACGTGGCCGCTTCCGTAACAAGCATAAATAATGGGCGACTCGCTGAAGTCGGTGATTGGTCCTGGACGAGGCACCCACTCCTCGATAACCGAATCCTGCGTGGGCAGATACCACGACTCATTCTTTTGCACCCCGTAAAGATGGAGAGCCTTCAGGCTGTACGAGGTCTGCAGTGCAGGCTTGATAGTCGAAGTGATTGCGCCCTCGTTCAGACTCAAAGTGGTGCGGTGGAAGGAGCCGGGTTCCCATGGGAGGTCCCAGGTCTGCTTGAAGACCTTTTTTAAATCATCTGCCCTTGAGGCGGCAAACAGGCCGCCAAAGAGGACGATGCCGCCGCAAGCAGCATAAAGCGCCAGCCTCTGGTTGATGATCTCGCTGCTGGGGCGAGCGACGCCGCCATCAGCTATAAAGACTGCGTGTGGCTGACTGCACTGGGTGAAGAGGCTGAATGCTTTCTCAGCTGTGTTGGCGTGCCTTACTGTTGCCCTTTCGAAAAACTCGTTGAGGAGTCGTGCGTGAGAACTCTGGAAGTTGTTTTGAGTTGTTTCGTCCGCGAGAGTGAGCACGAAGATGATGGGCTTGTCGCCCGGTGGAACGATAGGATTCGAATATATCGGAGCACTCATGATTGTCTACCATTTACCTATTACTGATTTTTTGGTTGAAGCGGCTAGACGCGGCGGGCAATTCTTCTTGTTGGAGATGATGAGCAAGTGAAGCTTGTGCGAGATGGTAAGAAGATCTTGTTGAGATTGAAGGCAAGTTTTTTTCGAGGCTGCGATGGATGGATTGAGAATCTAGAGAAGAGGAAATAGAACTTGGGTGGACTGGCGAAGAAAAGTAAGCGCAATGTGAAGACGGTTGACCGGTATTTATGTTCCAATACTGACTGGACCACAGACAGTCTGAGGAGCTGCCCATTGTTTCTTTTTTCTTTTCCCTTCTCCTCTTATTTTCCCTCCTACCAGCTTTACTCGCAAGTCAACATCCGATGTACTCACTGGGCATGGTCAAGGCCACTTCGCCGTTTATCAGAGACATGGGTTGTCACCCTGAGCGGCCTGTCTGCCGTCTCGTTATATTACCTACTAATGCTGTGCAACCATAATACACCTACAACTCGCATATTGTTTGTGTTACCACAACGCCTCCGCCGCCTAAACCTTACCGGTGAGAAGGCAGTCCCTGTCTAAGCAGGCCTGCGATGCGACCGCCATGTAACAGCGCACGCAGGCATCGTTTACACTCAGGAGCATCTGATTCTAATGCAAGGCAGATTGCGATCTATGTGTTGCCGAGGAACGACTTGCTGTTAAGTGAAAGAAATAACGAGGCTATTCGAAGTTCTTGATGGTACTTTGGAATATGCCTGCAAAGAGATTCGTCACTGTCAAAAGATTTTCTTGGCCCGCTAGCAACTTCACTACCACGTCGATGCGCGCACACACAATGTGTTTTAGTGAGCAAACAAAACCTAAAGCTGGCAGAGAGGCTGGCATGGCATGCTGAGCTGAGAAATTCAGTTACATACTCCACCAGACTTATGCAGTGCAATCCAAGGCAGCGGTGACTCTCGCAATAGCTCAAGCAATGGCCCACCGCAGAGGATCTAGACTACGCCGGTGGCTGAGGAGACAGCAGCATGCTATCTTTGCTGTGCTTTGCTTTGCTTTGCTCCAGTCCCTCTCCCGGCGTCGCACAAGCAGTGCATGATGGCGTCTTAGAAATCAGATATATGGGCTCTCATTTGGTTGTTGCGAGCCCCCGCCCCAGAACCATGCAATGCAACCTGCCCCAAGGTCGGTAAAAGCTTCTGACTGTGGCCATCTTCCCACCACCATCACCCGACCGGTGTGATAGGACTACATGACAAGGAGATTAGGGGAGGACGAACAGCTCGGCGTTTCTAGCCAGCAGTGCGGCTTACAAGGAGGCAGAGACAAAGATCATCATGTTGCCTCTGCGCTGAACAAAGACCATGGCTAATATGACAGGCATAACACTGACCTCCATCTATATGCCATATAAATACTACGCCTCACCTGAGCGGCTAGAGATGGAAGCAGTCTTCAAAGAGGAGCAACCCGCCAATGACGGTGACGTAGGCGAGCTTTCAGAGAAAAGGCGAGCCATCCGTTTGTGCAAACATATAAGCAGTGACTATCCGATGCAAGCCACCTGCAATGGGTGAGGCTATTGGGACTCTGACTGGTCCTAGGCCCTGCTTGGGGGCGAAGCACCCCTGGAGGAGCTGCCCACCTCCTCGGGGTCTGTCTCCTCATGTGATTCAGTTGAGTTGATGTACTATTAGATGGTTCACGCACAGACACAACGGCTTGCATGATGATGCTGCTGCTGCTTGCATGCCTGCAACCCAGACGTACTTGTCCGCGAGAAAAGCATAGGCACATGTACTATTCGTGGGACAGGAAACAGGTGCCCATCCTCGTATAAGTGATGATGCGTGAACAGCGGTGGGGACCGGTAAGGCGGCCATCCCCAGGCCCGCACCGGTGTGCTGGGATGTCAACTAGACGGAGAATAGGTAAAGAGGATAGGAAGAGGAAACAAAGGCCTATCCTGAAATCATACCCCACGGTTTGTTGCATCATTCGCTGGTACTACATCGCCGGCCATGGTTAGAACCCAGAGGGGGGAATGAAGGCCGCACGCATTGTTCGGCCTTCGCTCTTAACGAGCTCTTTTATGAGATGTGAGCCTTGGAGATAGAAGCCTGTGGGGGTCGGGAGACCTAATTCAGGCTCCCTCCCCCCTCCAAAGCAAGTAGTATTGTCTCGGGCCACTCAGATGCTGCACCTCGCACACCGGTGATTCCTTTGCATTATCCCAGCATAAGGTATTAGTCACTTGTCATATTTCCTTGCTCATTTCTCAGCCTCTCTTTGTTTCATGTGTAGGTTGAAAAAAAAAAAAAATAGTAGCCATGACAAAGGGTTTCATGACTTCAATTTCAATGGCATATTCAGAAGCGGCCGTCGCAATCATCTCCATCGTCCTGCTCAGCTTTGTGGGGTTCTGGCTACCGTTTCGACAAATACTTACCTGGCATACCATACGGGGGGTGAGAAATCCTCCGCTGAGATCTGATCCCGTTCCCGTTGGTACGCGCTAATACCCCCCCTGGCCGCCTTGAGAGCAAGGATAAAGCCAAACATTGTGGTATCGTGTATTGTATGTACTTGGTCCAGAGCCGTCCTCGGTCTAAGTGAGTGCCAAGCATTTCGGTCATCGAACAGGGGTAATAACCAAGCTGTTATCAAACCATTGGCTCCCAGCACCACCACGGCACCACCACGCAGAGCCGTGGGCTGGCATCGCAATCGTCGCAAATTTCGGCTGGAGCTGTCCGCGGCCCGCAGCTATCCATGAAACCAACCGTCGGGCACGGGCCCTTGCGGCTGCCTCTGCGTCTGTGCGAACAGCTTTCGGGCAGGCCGTACGCCATCTTGCCTTGCGGGAAAGAGTGTGCCTCCTTTGGAGCAAGACAAACAAGGCCGTGCTTTTTGTTCAGGGCAGAACTCGCTCGAGATTTAGTAGGCCTTGGTAACTGTGCCTCTTCATCCTCCTTGTTAGTCGAGTATGATGTAGAAATATCTGTATAGCATATTCTCCCAGCATCTCAATAGGTACATGTGTTGACCTACACTATGCCTTGGAAGCTGGCACGCTATTCAAATCACAGAAATAGGGTTCTCAGCCGGGATACGATCCGTGGGTTCCCCATGTTCGGCGATCGGAGATTGGCAAGCACAAGGTACCCGAAAGCACTCGCACTTGTACCTTGATGGAGTTCGGCGAGCCCCGGCGGCTTTGTTTTTTGGGGTACTTGCGTTTCAGGGGCGCGTGGTCAAGATTCGAGGCGTGCTACTTGTGTTGATCGTACCATCATGTATTGCACAAGAGGATGGGGAGTTGCCAATGTGAGCTGGATGCCACAATCCTTTGTCTAAGCCGAAATGAGGCTCGTATGAGTCGAATCCAGCTAGGATGGCTGCATACTGAGACCTCTTTGCGGCTTTCAGAGCGCTTAGAGTAGCATAGCGAACAAGGCTGCTGCAGTGGCGCTATTAGTTGTCGTGGAACAATGTTTGCAGGCGGCACGGTATATTGGGTGGCTGGCAAGGACCCGTGAAGTGGAACGATATCGTCTGGCTACCAGAGCCGTTGCTGGATGTCCGAGCATGTCTAGATGCGAGGGTACCAGCATGTCATTTGGCGCAGTACTACTTGGTAACGGCAAGTTGAAGCTTTTGTGTACTGTGATACGAGATATCCCTCCACCTCCGAATGCCCTCCACAGATGCGTTTTCAGCCTGGAATAGTCGCGCTAAACGGCTGTTGCTAGAAACCAAGGAGCTAGGATTTCAGGTACCGCCGTGAGTCAAGGCAGCAAAGATGTTTGCCTATGCCAGGGTCGCAATGAGCACCCAGGCGGTCGAGACGAGTTTGGGGTCCTCGCTACGGCTCGCAAGCCTGCGAATGAGACGAAGAGCCAAGGTCATTTATCCAGGGGTGGTTTGCCCAGTGTGGTTGATATATCACTGCCACACGCCGGAAGCTGAGTTCGTGGCTGTTGTATGTATCGTCCTAGCGTGTCTTTTCGGCTGGCTTTAGTTTTCCGATAATGTCCTTGGCCTCCTCAACGAGTCAGAGAGGCACTCTCAGCTCTGGAATAGTACTATTCACAAAGCACAGACATGATACCATTGTGGCGTTCTGTGGGGAGGCAAGTCGAGCCGAGAAGATTGAGCGTCAAGGTTATCAAAAATGGTGAGAGACATGGATTCAACTCGTCTCTCAAGTGGAGTGTGGATCAATGCAGGTCTCAGAATCCGACCGAGGGCCATTGCATGAGGCTTGAGAGTGCAAGATACACTGTCAAAGTCTCCGGGGCTATGCAAACTTGCTGTGAAAGTGTCCGAGAAGCCATGGTGTTGCAGTAACAGTGCGGCCCGTCGTTGAGCTGCCACTGCGCCATCTAGACGGAGAATTTCAAACATGCTCACCGGCCGTGACTCAGCTCGACCGAGATCGTTTGGCGGGTAAGCCTCTCTCCAAGATCAACGCGGGGGTAGTCGAAATCACAATGGCATTGTCTTGTTCCATTGACGGGGTTTGAATTGTGTGTGTGTCCCATGCGGTTCTGGATACCTTGCCTCCAATCAGGACGGCAATGGATGGTAGAATACTGAGCCGCGGGTGGCATTCAGGTACTGGTAGCTGTATGAGGGAGAACAATCACCCCTTTTGTGTAATGGAGTCTGTATAATGCAACAGGATGTATTGCACAGGCACGCCTCTGTGCGTTCTTTGTCCTTTGGCTTTTTCATCCGTGGACGGCGGCTTGGCTGCGGTCTCTTCTTCGGGGCGTGATCTTGCAGGCCGAGGCGCGGAGATTGCTGGCGGCATCTACCCGCATCTTGGGGCCATACGACGGCAGGCCTAGGCTCGTTCATTGCGTTGGTGGGTAGGTACATGTACCAAGATGCCGCAGTCTCGAAATGGAGGCGGAGGACAGCCGCGGAGGATAAACGGACGAGTCTTGCCGGCAAGGAGGAGCTCCTAAGCGTCCTGAGACAGCCTCGCACGAACAACCAGTAGTAGC